CAGCCGGCGGCCCCGTCCCGCTTCTGGACGCTGCAGCCGAGCACGGTACACTCTGCCGAGGATCCGCCGGCCGCCTGGGTGCCGCCGGTGCCGCTGCTCAGTCAGCTGGCCGACCCCGTGTCGGGCCGGCTGCCGACGCTGCGGTTCGCCGGCGAGCAGCGCTGGGGGCCGCCGCGAGCCCCAGGGGCGGCGGGGTCTGCCCAGCTGCCCAGCGTGCACGGCCTGCCGCTGCAGCCGGCCGACTACGGACGGTTCGGGCCGCCCGGCCAGCACCAGCAGCACCAGCAGCATCAGCAGGGGCAGCACCAGTTCGGCGAGTACGGCGCCACCAGCTACAGCACCGTCAGCTGGCCGGCCGGCCCCACCACCGAGAGGCAGCCCGAGTCGGCACCGGGCGCTCCCGGCCCCGAGACCCCGGGTCGGCCTGCGCCGGGACCCGGCGTGCGAGACCAGCTCACCCCGCCACCGCCGCCGCCGCTCGGCTACTTCCAGCTGGCACTGGCGCAGGCGCAGGCCAACGCGGCTGCACCCGGCGCGGCTGCCGCCTCTGACGGAGCTCCGGCGGGCCCAGTGCCGGGTCTGGGCGGCGCCGGTCAGTCCGGAGGAGCCGGACTTCACAGCGAGTCACAGCTACCTCAATCTCAGCTGACAGGGACGCTCCCCTCCCAGTCGGCTCAGCCTCCCGTCCCGAGCGCAGCGGACGGCGACTCCGACTCCGACTCCGACTCCGACTCAGAGTACGAGTACTACGACTATGGCGACGGCGAGTATTACTACTACGACGACGAGCCGCTGGGCGGCGGAGACCAGGCGGAGACGGACCAGGACGGAGACGAGGAGGAGAGCGCCAGCCTGGAGAGCAGTCGGGAGGACCAGGACGAACATGATGAAGAAGATGAAACTCAAGGTGCTGAAAGCAAGTACAGCAGCGAAGACAATCCCACTATCCAGCAATATAAAATTCCTCACATTCCTGATGGACCTTACCAAAGCAGTGGCACCTTCCATGTTACCCACCATTTCACCGACGACACTGATACCGATGATAAGCACGAAGACATCGAGCCGGTGCCTGCAGTAGCGCCGGTTGTCGATGAACACACTGCTGCGTCGGCCTACGTCGAGGACACCGCTGCCGGCACCGCTCCTCAGAGTACTGTCGAGGATGACGCTGCAGACACCGCTCCTGAGAGGACTGTCGAGGACACCATTCAAGCCTGGCAGCAGGTGCTGCGCTGGATCAACGACCCGCAGGTCAACCCGGCCGCCACGGCCCCTCCGGCGGCGGGGGAGCGGCCGACCACACAGCGGACGGCGGATACGGCACAGCAGGGAGCGCCAGTCAGTGCTGTGTATCTGCCAACGACAACTACAACCACTACCACTGAGGCAACCACCACTACATATCCGACAACCACTCCTACCACCGCCGCTCCAACCACCACGACGCAGCCTACAACCCAACCAACAACTTCACCTAAATCCTCACCCACAACGACATCCACAACCCCGCCCACAACTCCATCAACCACTTCAGATCCACCCACCACCACCACCGCTACCACCACCTCAGCGCCCTATGAGGCTCCGACGAGCGCCACGACCTTCTCGCTCCCCTGGCTGACCGAGGAGGCGACCACCGTTCCGGTCACCACGACCACGGCGCCGCTGTTCCTGTTTGCCAACTTCCCCCAGTTCAGTGCCGAGACCACCGGACGGACGGGCTGGACCGACCGTCCGGCGCCGCCGCTCGGTTTTCCCAGCGCAGACGCCGCTGAAGACCCCGATCGGGACGATGACGATGATGTCGAAGGAACTGATGAAGACGAGAGTGAAGATGATGATGAGACTTCTACTGACATGCCATCAGTCTCCATCTTCAGCCAGCCAATACCGAGGTTGGAGTCGCGCCCCTCCTTCACGGAGACCTACCGCCTGGGTCAGGGCTCCACTGGCGACACCACTCACCCGTCTGACGTGCCTCCCGCCGCCAGCGTCACAGACTCCCCGCCGGAGACCACTGAGCCGGCGGAGGACAACAGGGCCCCAGCTGGAGCACAGGACGCGGCGCCGACCTCACTGCGGCCCAGTCTGCGCGACATCCAGGAGGCCATCCTGCCGTACAGCCTGGCCGAGCTGCTGGTCGAGGCCGAGCAGACGCTGACCGAGTTCCTCCGCAGCCGGCCCGCCATGGACGAGGTGATGGCCGTGCTGGAGCGACTGAAGGCGCGCCGGGAGGGCCGCCTACCGCCGCGAGTGACGCCGCCGCAGCGGGAGCCAGAGTCAGAGGTAGCGGCTGCGACTACCAGAGTGGAGGTGCCCGCGCCACCTGAGAGGGGTGCTGAGCTGGCACCAGTAAGAGGTGAATCTGAAGATGATATTCATGATGACGTCGATGACGATAATGACCATGAACAAGACGAGAAAAGTGGCGACGATGATGCCGAGGAAGAGGACGATGACGCCCAGGAATATCCACCCGCTGATGACTCCGATCCGGGCCGTCGGCCGCCGCCTCCTCAGCCGGTGCCGGAGTCTCTCGACCTGACCTCTGTGCTGGCCGCGCTGAAGGAGCAGCCGCCGCCGCCCTCCCCGGCCCGAGTCTCCTTCCCGTGGGAGACGGCCGAACGGAGGCTGCCCGGCGGACTGGCCCAGCCCGGAGAGGACCCGCCGTCGACGCGACCCACCCAGCGGCCGACCACAGCCCGGACAACCAAACGGACGACGGCCGCCACGACCGCGCCGCGCAAAAGGAAGGTCTGGAGCCTGGCGGAGATCCTGGCCGAGAAGAAACTCTCTCTGCCGGCCTTCCTGGCTCAGGGAGGGGACGTGAAGCAGCTGCTGCTCGAGTACAACGGAGTCCGAGAGGATGACGCCGAGGATGGCGATGATGATGATGATGATGATGAGAGTGACGGAGAGAAGCCAGAGGACGACAACGATGACATCACATCAGGGGAGGACGATAGAAGTGACGATGAAGAGGGAGAAGGTGATGACGATAAGCCGGCCGAAGTTAAAATCTGGAGCCTGGCGGAAATTCTCCAAGAGCGCGGTCAGACGCTAAAACAGTTTATCTCCAGCGGCGGAAATGTGGGAAAAATTCTGGAGGAGTACAACGGAGCAGACTGGAGGGAGCGGCGAAAATCGGCGACCAGGGCGCCACCTACCACACCGGCACCGGCACCGACTATGTCGGACGACGCAGCTGCCGCCACCGTCTCCCCTGAGGACGACCCGGCCGACCCGGAGGACGAGGATCCGCCCACGGAGGCGCCGACCACCGAGCGTGGACCGGACGCCGTGCTGCCGACGCGGCCCAGCCGGGCGCCGGTCAGCCTGCGGCCGCTGTTCGGCGAGGGCGGCAGCTACGGCGCGTCCCGCGGCGGTCTGGGTCTGCGGCTGGACGGCGCCGACCCGCCCGTGTACGGCCGGCCACTGCTGCGCACACGCACCGGTGGCGGCGGCCGCGCGCCGCCGCGGCCGCCCAGCTCGCGGTACCAGCCGACGGCCGCGCTCGGCGCCGGCTCGTACCGGTACGAGGGCGAGCGGTTCGACGCGCCGCCGGCGCCGCTGCCGCCGGACGCGCTGTTCGAGCAGGTGAACCAGGAGACAGAGCCGGCGGCGCGGCCCGAGCACGCCGTCGGCGCCGAGCCGGAGCCGGAGCAGGTGGAGGACGGCTCCGGCTCCGTGCGGGACGCCATCATCACCAGCGGCGTGGTGGGCGGGTTCGCGCTGGGCTTCTTCATCGGCCTGCTGGTGCTGTGCCGGTGGCGGCAGCGGCGCGAGAAGCAGGCGCTGCGTCCCGGCCTCTCAGTGAGCAGCGACGGCGGTAGCAGTGCCAGTCCGCTGGACACCGCCAACATTGACCTCACCAACTACAGCAAGGCGTACGCCAAGAAAAAGTCGGCCGGCTTCTGGGGCTCGCTGCGCAAGTCGTTCAACCAGCGATACGCCACCGCCTATTCGGACAGTCCATACGGCGGTGTCGGGGGCAGCACATGAGACGCTGCGCCCCGCCTCGGCCGGGCAGAGGCTCGGGACACAGAGCGGGGCTCCCCGTCCAGTGAATAGTAAGTCAAAAGACACGTGTTTTAGCCCAGCGAGCCGGGCGGCAGGCTCCAGTGATCAGTGTGGCGTGAGCTGCCGACACAAGGCACAGTATCCGACTGGTGTGCTTACTTGCCAATGTGTTCTGCAGTGGCCCGTGGGGCCGGACTCGCAGTGACACGGTGCCCTGTCGGAAGCGCCAGCCCTGCCGCCAGTTACGCAGTGCTGGCGTTCAGTGAACTGAGCCAGAGCTCGTGCAGTGGGTATCGACCGCGGCATACTATAGAGCCGCGGAGGATGAACTCTCAGTGTCGTTAACAGGACGATATTCACTGCGGGCGTGATAGGACCGTGGAGGATTGCAACCTTCGTCATAAATGTGCCTCGTATTTATTGAACCTCGGGCCAACGTTGCCGATTGCGCGCTAGGTAATTGTCATAGCCATCCGCCGCCGGTAGCGGCAGCAGCCTGCAGCGGTGGTCTGCGCTGCTCAGCCGGAGGTGGACGGGGCCCGCATTTGTTTGTGTTGGCCGCGGTAGCCGGCGAAAGGCCGCCGTGAGGCCGGTGATCAGCGCGAGCCGCTGCACTGACGTTATGACAATGGCGTGTGCTGACGTTGCACGCAACATATTCGCCAATGTCTGTGATGTGTGATTATGTAGTCACCGTGATGTGCATTGATATCGAAATCAACTGTACCCTGTGCACCTTGTGTTTATTCAGCGTTCGACTTTTAATAACGGTCAGGGTTGCAAACCGACACGACTCATTGTACAACTCAGGCTACACCAAAGGCTATACGGAAATATAGCGGTGTATTTATTTCATAGAATCGGAAAATGAGCAACAAGTCGTAAAAAGTCACGACGTAATCAAATAAAAAGCACATTACTAAGCTCATAGCCAAAGGCGACAGAAAAATGTGAAGACAGATCGCGGTGGGACTGACCTGTAATTCTCAAAGGTGAAGTTATCCCTGATGGCCAGACTCCTTGCCTCGGGACAGTGCTGTAAAAGAGGACCAAAAGGCGAGCTAACGAGGGGCAGAAAACACGGAGATCAGCAAGATGGGAGATGGAGACGACCAAACTGGGGTACACGGGAGGTAGCAACAGTACAAACGATTCGAGCAGTTTAAACGAAATTGGTTGCACCAATGCACAATGCGAAATATCAAAACAGTTATAAACATCACAAAATCAATCTCAGGGGAAGTGAACACGGCGCATGTTATAAGGTACAAATCATTTCTGCGCGAAAAAGGGCAGGATATTAGCGACAAACCACCATGACAAATAAACTGCATCTGAAGGAGGTAAAATGGCATAACAATCATGCTTGCCAGTTCTGAAGGATTGAAAAGTGGCATATCCACCCTCAAGATGTGTAGTTTCACTTCAATACAATACATTACAACTTATTTGTCCCAGGAAATAAGTAGTAACAATGTATAACAGTCAGCCCGAAATGAGAAGGTGTACCGTTCTCCTTGTGAATCGGATTACGATAAGCCGAACGTCAAAACGACTTGTTGAGAAGTTGTCAAATCAACTATGAAAACCACATGCAGCATTCAGCCTCTCTTCAAGAAGAACCCGATAACTAATAAATATGCCCTTCAGAAAACCACTTATTATGTAAATACTTGGAACAAAATACTTGCAGATCCAAGTGGAAGGGGGAGGGACATTTGCCCCGCCCAGAGCGCAGTCGAAATCGATGAAATTTCGTCGTTTTTCTCGCAGAGAAAACAACTACTTTTTACTAGGGGAAACAGAATTTAAACCGACTGACTTTCAATAATGGTTAGCCTTTTTTACAGATGAATTAGCCAATGAAACCAAAACAATGAAGAAAAAAGAAACAAAAAACTGAAACTAGAACAATGAAGACAAAAGAAACAAAAACTCAGCCTCACAGTATCCTTAATCAGTGCATGCAAAACCCAAAACAAAAAGCCAAATGAAAGCCGGTGGTTGAGTATCAGCCGTCAGCCAAAGCCGTGTGCATTTCGGTGGTGTTAATAGCGGGACACTCATACAGCGCCGAAAGCAGCGGGGATTAGTTCGAACAAGCGGACGTGCGGCTGACGCGCGGCGTCCGTCGACGGGCCAGGCGTCACGTGCCGTCCGCGTCCGGGCACGAGGCGGCGCACGGGCGGCGGTACCGTGTCGCGCGCTATCTGCCGTGTACTCACGTGCAGACAGCCATAGTAGTAAGCGTATTGTCTGGCGATGTTGCGACATTGCTTGAGCGCCTCCTCTGCGCGGCCGGGACAGCGGCGGCGAGCGGCGGGACAGACACGGGCGACTGAGTTAGCACCGGCCCGGCCCGGCCCGGCCCCCGGAGCACACCACACACCACCCCCCGTCCCCACAGTGGCCGCACCACCGCGCACACCGCGCACCATGCAGGCACTACACGACTACAGTGGCAGAGTAAAGGTGGCTGGCTTGGAATAAGGTGACCGCTTGAAAGCGTCAAAACGATCCAGAGGGCGATTCCTTGTAATCCAAAGGTCAACGGTTTACGCCTGGCTTTCTCATGAATTCATTCATATGCGAACAGTTTGTTGTTACTCTGCCCGGACCTTTAAGGGTCAGGCCGGCAGACCCAATAACAAAGTGCGCCCAATAATCGTGCCGCCGCGCCGCAGTGCACGGTACCTTATCGCTGACAAAACCAATCTATCTAAGGGCTACCTGCCCTAAAGGAAACCGATCACAGTTGAAAGTTGGACCGAAACATGCATGATCCAGTCTTTGCTGGCCAATGGCCTGAACACAGTGAGCTACACGATTCATCGGATTAAATAGTTACAGTAATATTCCATTAAATTTTAATTCGACAAAAAAGTAAGGTAATAGTGTAAAATAGCACAAGCTTTTGTTTCCCGTGCTTCCCAAAACACTTCAAAGGGCTAAGAAAACCAAAGAGTAAACCTGGAGCTATCATAACTATCATAGTTTTTACGACTTCTCAAGCAGTCTAGTAAAACGCCAGCCGAAAAGTCGTGATCGTCAGTTGGCAGCTGATGTGATTGGTTGTGTCAGCGGTAGCCCCTGAGCTGGTGCACTGCCCCCACCAGAAGCCAGCCCCACGGGACACCAGGAGGGACATATTCACAATATGTACAACGGAGACAAGAGGCCGGGCTCGAAGCTATCAGATTTTTCTCACAATTTGCGTGAAGGAGCGAGCACAAAAGCCCTAATGCTGTGCTGACCCCAAGCAATCACCTGAACTGGAATTTCGGCTCAACCACACGTAGAAGCACAGAGATCACAATACGAAAAGCATCAATGACAAATAAGCCCAAACACGTCAGACCGTATCCCTGAAACGCCTATTGACACGTCGGCCACAAGAACAGGACACAACGGGGGAAAGAATGCCACAACTAGAATAATACGACCCCCCCCCCCCAACATCAAAACTCCCTCAACTCTCGCCATAAAAACACACGTCCCGACCCGGGCCCACCCCGACCTCTTCCCATACACCCCCCCATAAAAGCTCCCAGCACCGCCTGCCTTTCCGTGGGACCACTCACCGAAGCAGGGCGAGCCCCTGAGCATCTCGACCTCTGCCGGTGTGAAGTACAGCACGGTATCGTAGGTGTCTGGCAGCGCGCGGATGTAGGCCGTCCAGCGACTGTCCTCGGAGAGCGCCTCCTCCAGCAGGTGCAGCGTCAGGCCCAGCTGCGGCATGGCCGACGTCAGCTTGTCGCCGGCGATGAACGGCCCTGAACGGAGGAGAGAGAGGGGAGGGTGAGCTGGCGGTGACGCAGGAGCGTAGCATTGCTACTTCATACACAGCACGCATGACACTGGTGCGATAGGGATCTACTGACCTTCGTATTCGCATTCATGCTAGCCTCTGTTTGACAGTAACTAACATTCTAGTGAGACGGAATACCCTTTCCCTCCTTCCCGTGCCTGCGCGCGCCCTGCCCGCTCACCGATTTTGGCCTGGCGCGCAGTGTCGAGCGACAGCATGACGGCGCGCGGCACCTGGATGGCCGTCTGACAGGGCGCCAGCGGCTCGGTGCAGCGCAGGCCGAGCCCGTAGCCGGCGAAATCGGCCGCCTCCAGGCCGGGCGCCCGGCCGCCCTGCTGCAGCAGCCACCCGTGCAGCTCCTGCACCCGCGCCAGCCGGCTGCCCGGGCCGCCGCCGGGCCGAGCGGGCGCTGAGCCGGACAGACTGGTCAGTGACGCCGGCCGGCGGGGTACTCAGAGAGCGTGACACTGCCACAGGTGTACAGGGTGTCCGGAAAGTCCTGGCGCTTCTTTTGGACGCCGTGTAACGCTCGCTGTTATTATTGGACATTCAGCCAATCATCACAGACATGACCCCTCGTTGATTGCTCAGCCAGAGGTCGTGTAAATATGACCTTGAAATCGTTTTCAGTGATGGGTAGATGGGCGAAGATGCGCCTTGTCGCTGAATGCCTGCGCGCGGCGGCCGGGTGCGACTTGAACGAGGCTCGAGTTGCAGCGCGATGCGGCGTTTTTCGATGAATGGTTTAGCAGGTAAAGGTTTATTTCGACTCGGGAATTCCATAGAAAATATCCTCAGACCGTTTCGAACGCGATATGGGAACGGAGCAGCATTTCAGCGCGGCAATCGAAGAAAGTGCGGGGGTCTGATGGACAAAAATGTCCCATCATCTTCGTCAATGTCGAATAAATGAATAACAGGCTGGCCCACGAGGGGTTCCTGGACAGCCACATCAACCCGAGGGTCAAGACGACATGCCCTAAGGGTCACTTCGCATTTCAACAGCACGGAGCACCCTCCAACAACGCCGCTGCCATTCAAGCTAAACTGACAGAGGAGCTTGCCGGGCCAGATCACCGTGGCGAAATGAGATCAGGCCGCCTTATTCTCCTAACCTGACCCGCTCGACTAAGGCGTGCTACGCGTTTTGTAGAACAGGATCTAGGCCATTTCTCACCCCAACCTGGAGTCGCTGAAGACTCGCATCATGACAGCACGGGAGGACCTGGAAATGCCCCGCATCGTCAAAACCCGCAGACGCTTCCTCCCCTACGTCGAGGCCGTCGTCGGCGCCGGCGATGGTTACATTGAATGAGCACGTAGCGGAAGCATGTGGCTTGGTGTCCCTGGTCATTGTTTTGATCCATTGATTAGTATCTATGAACCAATGGCATTTGTTTTAGAAAATGTTGAAAAGCGCCAGAACTATCCGGACACCCTGTACAGTGGAAATAGCACTGTCATCACAAGTTTGATTGACATGAACGAACGGAAAGTATTTGGTTGTCATGAATACATTGATGAAAATTGGCGTAAGTTGTTACACAACCCATGTTGATATTCCATACCGAAAATAAATTCATTTCAAAGTTATTGCAAAAAAGGACAATAAGTGGTTGGGTTTCATGCTTCCAGCAATATCACCTTTCTGCAAAGTCATAATCTGCTGCAGAATGTCATAGATACTTTGATAGTTTTCCCATTCTTCAGCCTTGTTCATTCGGGCCACAATAGATGATTCTGAAAAATACAAAATAGCATCTCAGCAAAAAGGCAACGCGCCATGAACAAAAACATTGATAGAACTGAAGAAAATGCCAAGTGTCAACATAATGACTAATTAAACGTCAATAAAACAATTTCTCAAAAAACAACATGGCTGAATATAGAAACGTGGGTCAAACAAAGTGGAGCTCTCGGTCGCGAACTCGCTGCCACCGAGTTAGGAGACGGACGCGTCATCCGCTAGGACGCCTTATCGGGGCAGAGGTCATGCTTATTGATAGAGACAAGTAGAAAAACACGGAACAAATAGTGCATGGACGCGTTTCGATTATTAAATCTTCATCAGCATGACATAATCACTATATCTTGTTTTCTCTGTGATTATGTCATGCTGATGAAGATTTAATAATCGAAACGCGTCCATGCACTATTTGTTCCGTGTTTTTCTACAGAGGTCATGCTGCGTCGAATGATAGTTTAAGTCACATAAAAATTGTCAGATTATTAGCAAATGTAAAACTTACTTGCAAGCAGTTCTTTCACCAAATCCTTAATCTTCAGCTGATCTTGAAAAGATGGTTTTCCTTTATCAGCTTTTGCTGACCTATTTTTCTTGCCCATTTTCTGCAAAGAAATAAAATGGTCACAGGTTACAGGAGCAGCACTATATTTCTCAAAGCAAGCAAAATATCCATTTGCACACTAACTCATAACCAGGGGTGCGGAGCCGGAGCCGCCGGAGCCGGCATATTTTGCCCGGAGCCGGAGCCGTGAAACAATATAGCCCGGAGCCGGAGCCGTAAAAAGGGCGACTCCGGCTCCTTTTTTTGGAAGAGGAAAACAATTATTTACCTAGTTGGGTTTGACAGTACAAGGCAGTAAAACATGTGGTATTCAAAATAGCCTCTTTATGCAAATACAGAAGCAACGTGTACCAATCCCATCGCCTTTTTTCTTCCACCCGTATCTAATTAATCGCATAGGGGATGTGCTGAGTAGGAGCCGGAGCCGGAGCCGCCGGGCCAGACCATCTTACTCGGAGCCGGAGCCGGAGCCGGAGCCGCCATGTCATTTCACCCGGAGCCGAAGCCATTTTTTCTCCGGAGCCGGAGCCGTCTGAAATTTCTACGGCTCCGCATCCCTGCTCATAACTTATAAACTTAGCCTACCAAAATATCCGTTCCCTCTTTTCCACCCTCAGGACAGACAAATCCTTCTCCTCCATGCCTCAAACCCCTGCTCCGGGCTGGACGGGCAACTTTATCCCATGCGGGAGCGGGATTACCCATAGAGCACACCTGTAGCCGGGTGTGGTGAGTGCCCGTCGTCGTCGTTTTTCCTGGTTTCTCCCTCCAGCTCCCTATGGGGCGTAGCCGATGAGCCTCAATTGGGCGCGGTAGCCGGCAGCCAAGGCCGCCACCGCGCCGTCGTCCCTTGCCATAGACGCTTCCGGGTGTATGTTACCCGTGCGCCGCAGGCGACGGCCTGCCAGCGCCGGGCATCGGAGCAGGAGGTGTCTTGGAGTGTCCGCCTCTTCACGGCAGACGCGGCATCGAGCAGCCCACGTTGTTACACTGAGGGCATTCGGCCTCGGGATGGCGGCCGATGCGGTGCAGGTGCTGCGCCGAGCCACTCCAGTGTCCTGCTCGGAGCTGGTGAATGTCAATCGCGACGGTGCGGTCGGCTTTCAGGACGGGGCCGGGACGGCGTCAGCCCATATCGACCGGTACCAGACGTCCGGCCAGCTCCGCTGCCAGGCGCGCGCAGCGTCGCGCGCCACTCGGTAGTCGTGTCCGCCATGGCCAGGGGGGGAGGGGGTTCTCTAGCTTGTCAAAGTTGAGACCCTTGCGGACGTAGATCGCTACGTCGCCCCCTTTGGTCGGACCTGAGTTTTTCCGCCCCGTGCCCTTCGGCGGACGGCCGCCGTCTGGAATCCCGGGATCTCGGTGAGAGATGAAGCGCTGAACTGTGCCTCTTGAACCGCGATGACGTCAATGTTAGACTCCGATAGCCAGCCTTCGCTCTCTGTCAGCTTGCGACGTAGTCCCTCGGCGTTCCAGCAGGCGATATGCAGGCGGCTTCGGTCTTGAGGTTGGCGCGTAGTCGACGGTTCTTGGCTCTCCTGCTTCAACCCCGGGAGCTCCTTCCGGCGGGCGCTGCCGCACCCCCACCGCCGGCACTTGCGGCGGGGGGTGCCGACTCATTCATTCACCGCAGACCGGCGCCGCTGCGGACAGCCTCCAGGCGGCATGTCCTCGCGCGGCACCGGCCCGCTGAGCGTGCACCGCGGGTCGTCGTGCAGATGGTGTGGGGACGACGGCGTGGTGGAGCGTCGGCCGCCGGCGCCCGACCCCGAGAGGGCGGGCTGGGACCCGACTGGCTTCCCCCCACCGCTCTCCACGGCGGGGGCGGGGACGAGCCCCACGGAGTCCACCATGTGAAGGTGGGTCCCTCTAGACTTCTGGTGAGTGCTTGGGGAGACAAGGGGCTGCACCGCTGTCGGCCTGTCATCTGGACAGGCTCAGCCCCGGCAACTCACCAGGGTGCTTGCCCCGACCAATGTCTCCCCCTACTTCCTATTATCCTCCTGCCTCCCAGCCCTGAAATGATCTTTTCAGACCAAAAGGGCCTAACCCAACAAAACAAAAACAAACCAACAAAACCTATCAACTTAAGCTTTGTCCCAGTCCTGGTGTATGTGTCACACACACACACAATGTGTAGGTGTGTGCATCTGTGTATGCGATTTGGAAACCTGCACCAGTGAACAATGTACAAGACAAGTTTTTTTTTCAGTACAATTTGGCTATCTATAGTAAAGTTATAAAAAATGCAATAGTAACCAATTATTTCCAGGCCAACTTCATTCACCATTGTGTCTCATGTTCCTCATTTCCATGGACAATGCACCAGCAACTCAGTACAGCAGTTCTGCATAACACCTACCATATTAGAACACACACAGCTAAACTCAAAATCTGCACCAGAATATGGTAGGTAAATTCACATTGCACCACACACAAGCTGAGGGTCTCCAGCTGCAGTTTGACTGATGCAAGAAACACGGACTCGCGGATGTCATTTTGGAAAGCAGAGCCATCAGCCAGCAGCATCACTATAGACGTGCAAAGCCCAATAGCCAAGAATATTCAAGATATTTCTTCTTTTTTTACGAGCGAGCGAGATCCTGAGGAAAATCCTGAGGAAAATCCTGAGTATGAGCGGCCGGCCGTGGGGACGCTCTTCAAAAGCTAATATCTTAGGAACGGGACATCCGATTGACAAGCGGTCTTCTTTACTGAATGTCACTTGGACGTAAAAGTTCTGTGGTGTGATGGCCACCATGCGTTCTTGCCAACCACCGCACGTGGCGCGTGGTAAAGTTGGACATTTTTTAAGAACCCCCAAAATTGCAACCTCAATAACGGCACAACGGTTGGGCCGATTGAATTGAAACTCGGTACACAGTTAGGTCTCCATCAGATAATTCATCTGCATGTGTTAAGGTTGGGGTGCTACAGCACGTGCGCACGTGCAGGGGGCGCTCCCAGATCTCGAGAACGGCTGGGCCGATTGCGCTCAAATTTGGTACACGGTTGGGGACCAGTTAGTAGGGTGCCGAGCAAAAGTCAGTTTGGACCCCGCTTGCACGTGCGCACGTGCAGAATGCCGCTTCCAGATCTCAGGAACGGCTGGGCCGATTGCGTTCAAATTTGGCACACCGCTAGCGACCAGTTAGAAGGGTGCTTTGCACAAGCCCGTTGGAAGTACCCTCTCGCCCTTGCGCACGTGCATGGCTCACTATCTCGCTCGCTCGTTCTTCGCCCAAAAGGCGTTTTACTGGTAAAGTAATATAGTGTAATTGGATAAATGGGTGGTTTTGAACTTTGATAGGTAGGTACAAATCCAGGAGGTGCTTGTTGCAAATGACACCACACACGGCCCCCCAACTAACCTTGCTCATCCCCCGTTTGCCAGTGATAGTTTAGAAGATAGTTCAGTGCATTGTGAGTTGATAGTGAGGTATATCGGTAACCCTGGCGTCACCGGTAGCGTTTTCGTTCAAGGTTAAAGTTTCCTGTATAAGCTGCCGTGCCAGGCCGAAGCATGCTGTGACGTCACTGGGTAAGAGAAGATAGCGTAAAGAACGACTCAGGCAGACTCAAACCGACTCAGGCAGACTCAAACTGACTCGACCGACTCAAACCGATTCATATCGACTCAGACTGACTCAAACTAACTCAGACCGACTCGAATCGATCGACTCAAATCGATTCCGATCGACTCAGACAGACTCGGGCAGACTCGGACCGATTCAGATCGACTCAGACCGACTCAGATAGACTCAGAACGACTCAAACTGACCCAGAACGACTCAACCGACTCAAATCGTTCCGATCGACTCAGACAGACTCAGGCAGCCTCAAACCTATTCAGGCAGACTCAAACCCAATCAGGCAGACTCAGACCGACTCAGATACTCAGAACGACTCAAACGGACTCAGACCAACTCAACCGACTCAAATCGATTCCGATCGACTAAGAGTTCAGACAGATTCAGAATGACTCAGACAGACTCGGGCAGACTCAAACCGACTTAGGCAGACTCAAACCGACTCAGGCAGACTCAGACCGATTCAGACCGACTCAGATAGACTCAGAATGACTCAAACTGACTCAGCCCGACTCAACCGACTCAAATCGATTCCGATCGACTCAGACAAACTCAGAATGACTCAGACAGCCTCAGACAGACTCAAACCGACTCAGGCACACTCAACCTGACTCGACCGACTCAAGCCGATTCAGGTCTGATGATTCAGGTCAAACTGATGGGTCTGTCTGAGTTGGTCTGAATCGGTTTGAGTCGGTTGAGTCAGCTTGAGTCTGCCTGAGTCAGTTTGAGTCATTCTGAGTCTAGCTGAGTCAGTCTGAGTCGATCTGAATCGGTTTGAGTCGGTCGAGTCAGTTTGAGTCTGCCTGAGTCTGTTTGAGTCGTTCCGAGTCTATCTGAGTCGATCGGAATCGATTTGAGTCGGTTGAGTCGATCTGAGTCAGTTTGAGTCGTTCTGAGTCTATCTGAGTCGGTCTGAATCGGTTTGAGTCGGTCGAGTCAGTTTGAGTCTGCCTGGGTCTGTCTGAGTCGATCAGAATCAAATTGAGTCGATCGGAATCGATTTGAGTCGGTTGAGTCGGTCTGAGTCAGTCTGAGGCGATCTGAATCGGTCTGAGTCTGCCTGAGTCAGTTTGAGTCTGCCTGAGTCTCTCTGAGTCATTCTGAATGTCTGAGTCGATCAGAATTGAATTGAGTCGATCAAAATCAGTTTGAGTCGGTTGAGTGAGCCTGAGTCTACCTGAGTCGGTTTGAGTCTGCCTGAGTCGTTCTGAGTTTGTCCAAGTCGATCAGAATAGGTTTAAGTCGGTGAGTCGGTCTGAGTCAGTTTGAGTCGTTCTGAGTCGGTCTGAGTTGATCTGAATCAGTTTGAGTCGGTCGGGTCAGTTTGAGTCTGCCTGAGTTGGTCTGAGTCTATCTGAGTCTCAGTCGATACTGATAGCATGGTACGTTATCTTCTCTTCCAGTGACGTCACAGCATGCTTTGGCCTGGCACGGTGGCCTAATACAGGAAACCTTAACCTTGAACGAAAACATTACCAGTGACGCCAGGGTTACCCATACCGATAGTGATTCACACAATCCTATCAGGTCTAGCATATAATTTACTTCCTTGAAGCCTGAAGACCACCATAGTGTAGCTCAGTCTCCATGCTGCAGTCAGCAGTGCAGAATAAAGCCAAAAATGCATTTGATTCTGACCTTGATAGCTGAAGCTTGTCCCCGAAGGCCCAGGCTGTAGCGTTGACACAAATTGAAATTGAAAATTTTACTCTTAACTTCTTCACTGTTTAAGAAATACCAAACACACAAATGTTCTTGAGACACATAGGTATGTTCCGCGACCAGAAATCTGTCAAGCCCACACCACTCTCCAGTCTGCTCTGCAGAAGATACCTACAAATTGAAATTGAAAACGGATCCACGAAACCGAGTCGAACCCGAGAGCTCCGAGCTCTAATCAAAATTGCACAAGAATTGTGCACAAGAGTTCAGTGTGTGTGCACTGTGCACGCATCAACATGCTCGATGAGAAGAGGGTGTTCGTTAATTTTTGATTGTGCTAGCTCATGAACTTTTACAGCAAATCAGTGGCCCGTGTAATCCAAGTAGTAAACGGTCGTCAAGCTAGATGTAAGCGAATCCTAATCTATAATCTAAGATTCGGAATCAGGCGAGCCCCTACGATTTAGACCAAACTTGGTCAGTAGATAGTACGTAACGTACTGATTACGATGCATCCAAAATCTAAGCTCGGCCCGCCATATTTACGAAGTTACGGAGGTTTGAATTTCAAGGTCATTCGGGAGAGCCCCTACGATTTCCGTCAAAATTTGTGTACGGACACTCTAGATGCTCCTCATTACGAATATCACAAAATTTAAGCTCGGCCCGCCATATTTACGAAGTTACGGAGGTTTGGATTTCAAGGTCATTCGGGAGAGCCCCTACGATTTCCGTCAAAATTTGTATACGGGCCCTTTTGGAGCTCCTTATTACGAATATCACAAAATTTAAGCTCGGCCCGCCATATTTGCGAAGTTACGGAGGTTTGAAATAAAGTCTGGCTGGGTACGATTTTTGCACTATAATGTTTCACACTCCTATTTTCCAACCTTGCTCCAATAATGATAACGCGTGATATCATTATTGCGCGTGATGACGTGTGATTTGCATCAGTTGGGTTGGCGACTTATGGGTGGTGGAATTGAATTTGTCGGTTATGTTGATGTGCTGCATAATAATTGCGAGGATTTTGATTAAGTGACAGGGAAGTGAAGTAGAAGGCGAAGGAATGGCAATGCAATTGTCAAAGGGGTAAGTTGAAGTGGGCACACTGGCTCCAGGCTCAGTAGCCCTTGCTCAGTGGATAATAGTTGTGGTAGGGCATATCTTGAACGGTAAGGCCCACTGTTCATGTTGGACTGCATTCAGGGACAGTGACGGCACCACAGATATATTTAGCTTACCTTTCCCTCTTATGTGACATTATAGTGCATGTATGGCCTAAACTTTTGAATTCATTTTAAAAGGGGGAAAACGCAAGAAATTACCCAACGTTTCACATTTATTGCTTAGTCATGGGTCTTAGGTCTTAGGCACTCTAAGACCCATGACTAAGCAATAAATGTGAAATGTTGGGTAATTTCTTAAGATGACATTTCTGTTCCTGGTGAAGCCAAACAGCTTTTGTCACCCATTACCATCCTCACATTCTGACTGGTTGACAGTGAGTCCCGGGGTCTGTTCAGTTATAGATGAGGCCTGATAAAGGACGCTAACGGATCCCTTCTCTCTGGTCTCTGTCCGCCTTTCAAGGTGATGACTGACGTGATGCCCGTCATCGAGGAGCAGCTGGTGTTGAAGCGCAGCTGCTGGGTGCGCCTGAAGCGCGGCATCTTCAAGGACGACATCGCACAGGTGGACTACGTCGACACCGGCCAGAGCTCCGTCCACCTGAAGCTGGTGCCGCGCATCGACTACTCGCGCTTGCGCGACACGCTACGGGACAAGGTAAGGCGAATGTGGTGGGAATTGATTGTCTGAAGTGGGGTGCTCTTTATCATAAGTTCGCTCTCAATCCAAAGCTGTTCTGCTTATATAGCGTTATTGAGAGGCTTATATGCAACCACTAGGTCGACCTACTTGTCTTTTTTTTTAGGTTAGCCTTGACATCCCTTCTAATTTCTATCAAGGATCAGAATGCACTGGGTGCATACAGGTGACCATCAGGCACCACTGCATGTTCCATGTGTAAAATAAGATGTTGTCAATTTGGTGCTCACTACAGCGCAGCCGGTGCAACCAGTGAGAAGCCTTTTGGGGCGATAAACGAGCGAGCAAGAGGGTGAGCCTTGCACGTGTGGAATTGCGTAGGAGATACTTCCAACCTATTTTTGCCATTGGCGGTGGCAAGGGTGGGGCTTTCAGGGCCATGCCCCCCAAAGTGCCCCCCCAAAAAAAACGATTGTCCCCCATGGGCGTATGGGACCCTGACCCTTGCTCGATTGTTACGAGGCTCAAGGACCCCACGCCAGCTATTAACAGCACCCCTACCGGTCTTTGAGGGTTCTACACTGACCTCTGAGGGGCCTTCAGTGCCAGTCAAGCGCCCACATTGACCGCTGAGGACCCACATTGACCTCTGCGGGCCCTTAAACCGGCCTCAGGGGGCCCCAACTGGCGTAAGGGATAGCCGGTCCCGTAGCTCAGTTGGTGGAGCGTTGGTCTCCGCGTGGTGAGAGCACGCGTTCCCGGTTATAACAATCCGGGCTCGAAGCGCGACGGGCGCTTGACGTTTATGGGCCTCCTGACAGATATGGTTGCGGTTGGTGGCAGGTCGTAGTCAGGCGAAGTCAGTGAGGGGTCCGGCCGTGCGCGGCTATGCGCGCACGTTAAACTTTGGACTCTAAATTCTGCCATAGAACCGGAATTGCGCGATCGGAGGGTAGAGGGCAGGGTCAACGCAACAAGCTTCGCTTAGCAGGGGCTCTGTCCTTGTGAATCCTTCCAATCAAAAGGTTCTGACTTAAGATATAAAAAGTAAGAGGGTCTCACACTGCCCTCCGGTGGCCTGATTTGTCTCTGGCGTCCCAAGTAACCTTAAGGTGCCTCTGAGGGCCCGCACTGGCTTCTGAATGCCCGATACCGGCCTCTTAAGGCTGAAACAGACTCTTTCCGCATTCAGGGACTCGCATGCGAGAGCTTATTCAAGTACATGATAACTCTCCCCACATCAATCGCATGCGGGAGGTGCGAGCGATTGATGCGAGCGTGCTTCCATGTATTTGAGTAGGCTCTCGCATGCGATTTCCTGACTGCGGGAAGAGTCTGTTTCAGGCTTAAGGGCCCGCCTTGGCCTTTGAGGGCGCTCTGCTGCGCTCTGGGATCCAACGTCGACCCATGCCGGTCTTTTAGGGCCCCACACTGACCTCTGAGGGCCCAATGCTGGCCTGTAAGGACCCACATTAGCCTCTGAGGTGAGGCTAATGTGTATAGAGCTTGAACCTATAGAGCTATACTTATAGAGCTTGAACCGACGGGTCGTCTGTGAGGCCTCAATCCGTGCCAGCGAGAGTGTTGAAAATGGTGCATAATATGTTATATTCACATTTATTTGGGTATTCAGGGATATAAAGTAGCCTTATACCATTCTAGCAACTACTGGTGAGTCCAGAAAGGCGATCTTGGACGTTGCAAGGGGCATCCCCCAAAAGATTCTCCCAATGCCAAAGACGATGTGTCCCAGATGACCCCCATGACCTCCAGTTGAGCTCTGTGATGACCCATGTTGACCTCTGTGATCTACCGTGTCTCATATGACCTCCGTGACCTCCAATTAAGCTCTCATTACTCCGAGCTGACCTCTGTGACCTGACGTGTCCCAGATAATCTCCAATTGAGCTCTGTGATGACCCCAAAATGACCTCTGTGACCTGACGTGTCCCATATGGCCTCTGTGACCTCTACGTGACCTCTCTGATGATCCCAGTTGACCTCTGTGACCTGACGTGTCCCATATGACCTCCAATTGAGCTCTCTCATGACTCCGAGCTGACCTCTGCGACCTGACGTGGCCCAGGTGATCTCAAATTGAGCTCTGTGATGACCCCAAGTTGACCTCTGTGATCTGACGTGTCCCATATGACCTCTGTGACATCTACGTGACCTCTGTGATGACCCCAGTTGACCTCTGTGACCTGACGTGTCCCATATGACCTCCAATAGAGCTCTCTCATGACTCCGAGCTGACCTCTGTGACCTGGCGTGTCCCAGATGATCTCCAATTGAGCTCTCTCATGACTTCGAGCTGACCTCTGTGACCTGACGTGTCCCAGATAATCTCAAATTGAGCTCTGTGATGACCCCAAGTTGACCTCTGTGACCTGACGTGTCCTATATGACCTCTGTCCTCTGTGACCTCTGTGACCTCTACGTGACCTCTATGATGACCCCAGTTGACCTCTGTTACCTGACGTGTCCCATATGACCTCTATGACCTCTCTGATGACCCCAAGCTGACCTCTGTGACCTGACGTGTCCCAGATGACCTCCAACTGAGCTCTGTGATGACCCCAAGTTGACCTCATATGACCCACTGACGTGTTCCATATGACCTCTTTGACCTCTGTGACCTCTACGTGAGCTCTATGATTTTTTTTGAACTACTATGATGACCCCAGTTGACCTCTGTGACCTGACGTGTCCCATGTGACCTCCAATAGAGCTCCCTCATGACTCCGTGCTGACCTCTGTGACCTGACGTGTCCCAGATGATCTCCAATTGAGCTCTATGATGACCCCAAGTTGACCTCTGTGACCTGACGTGTCCCATATGACCTCTGTGACCTCTGTGACCTCTCTGATGACCCCAAGTTGGCCTCTGTGACCTCTACGTGACCTCTGTCACCTCTACGTGACCTCTGTCACCTCTACGTGACCTCTGTGACCTCTACGTGACCTCTATGATGACCCCAGTTGACCTCTGTGACCTGACGTGTCCCATATGACCTCTGTGACCTATCTGATGACCCCAAGTTGACCTCTGTGACCTGACGTGTCCCATATGACCTCTGTGACCTCTCTGATGACCCCAAGCTGACCTCTGTTACCTGACGTGTCCCAGATGACCTCCAATTGAGCTCTGTGATGACCCCAAGTTGACCTCTGTGACCTGACGTGTCCTATATGACCTCTGTAACCTCTACGTGACCTCTATGATGACCCCAGTTGACCTCTGTGACCTGACGTGTCCCATATGACCTCTGTGACCTCTCTGATGACCCCAGTTGACCTCTGTGACCTGACGTGTCCCATATGACCTCTGTGACCTCTCTGATGACCCCAAGTTGACCTCTGTGACCTGACGTGTCCCATATGACCTCTGTGACCTCTCTGATGACCCCAAGCTGACCTCTGTTACCTGACGTGTCCCAGATGACCTCCAATTGAGCTCTGTGATGACCCCAAGTTGACCTCTGTGACCTGACGTGTCCTATATGACCTCTGTGACCTCTACGTGACCTCTATGATGACCCCAGTTGACCTCTGTGACCTGACGTGTCCCATATGACCTCTGTGACCTCTCTGATGACCGCAAGCTGACCTCTGTGACCTAACGTGTCCCAGATGACCTCCAATTAAGCTCTGTGATGACCCCAAGTGGACCTCTGTGACCTGACATGTCCCATATGACCTCTGTGACCTCTGTGACCTCTCTGATGACCCCAAGTTGGCCTCTGTGACCTCTACGTGACCTCTGTGACCTCTACGTGAGCTCTATGATGACCCCAGTTGACCTCTGTGACCTGACGTGTCCCATATGACCTCTGTGACCTCTCTGATGACCCCAAGTTGGCCTCTGTGACCTCTACGTGACCTCTGTGAACTCTACGTGACCTCTCTGATGACCTTAAGCTGACCTCTGTGACCTGACGTGTCCCAGATGACCTCCGTGACCTCCAATTGCGCTCTGATGACTCCAAGCTGACCTCTGTGACCTGATATGTCCTAGATGACCTCCAATTGACCTCACTGATGACCCTAAGTTGACCTCTGTGACGTGACGTGTCCCATATGACCTCTGCGACCTCTAAGTGACCTCTCTGATGACCCCAAGCTGACCTCTGTGACCTGACGTGTCCAAGATGACACCCATGACCTTCAATCGAGCTCTGTGATGACCCAAGTTGACCTCTGTGACTTGACATGTCCCAGATGACCTCCGTAACTTCCAATTGGGCTCTTTGATGATCCCAAGCTGACCTCTGTGACCTGACGTGTCCCAGAAGGGCCCCAATTGAGCTCTGCGATGACCATAAGTTGACCTCTGTGACCTGACGTGTCCCATATGACCTCTGTAACCTCTGTGACCTCTCTGATGACCCCAAGTTGGCCTCTGTGACCTCTACGTGACCTCTGACCTCTACGTGACCTCTATGATGACCCCAAGCTGACCTCTGTGACCTGACGTGTCCCAGATGATCTCCAATTGAGCTCTGTGATGACTCCACGTTGACCTCTGTGACCTGACGTGTCCCATATGACCTCTGCGACCTCTAAGTGACCTCTCTGATGACCTTAAGCTGACCTCTGTGACCTGACGTGTCCCATATGACCTCTGCGACCTCTAAGTGACCTCTCTGATGACCCCAAGCTGACCTCTGTGACCTGACGTGTCCAAGATGACCCCCATGACCTTCAATCGAGCTCTATGATGACCCAAGTTGACCTCTGTGACTTGACGTGTCCCATATGACTTCTGTGACCTCTCTGATGACCCCAAGCTGACCTCTGTGACCTGATATGTCCCAGCTGACCTCCAATTGAGCTCACTGATGACCCTAAGTTGACCTCTGTGACGTGACGTGTCCCATATGACCTCTGCGACCTCTAAGTGACTTCTCTGATGACCCCAAGCTGACCTCTGTGACCTGATGTGTCAAAGATGACCCCCATGACCTTCAATCGAGCTCTGTGAAGACCCAAGTTGACCTCTGTGATTTGACATGTCCCAGATGACCTCCGTAACCTCCAATTGGGCTCTTTGGTGACCCCAAGCTGACCTCTGTGACCTGACGTGTCCCAGAAGGGCCCCAATTGAGCTCTGCGATGACCATAAGTTGACCTTTGTGACCTGACGTGTCCCATATTACCTCTGTGACCTCTAAATGACCTCTATGATGACCCCAAGCTGACCTCTGTGACCTGACGTGTCCCAGATCACGCCATGACCTTCAATCGAGCTCTGTGATGACCCAAGTTGACCTCTGTGACTTGACGTGTCCCAGATGACTTCCATAACCTCCAATTGAGCTCTTTGATGATCCCAAGCTGACCTCTGTGACCTGACGTGTCCCAGATGACCTCCAATTGAGCTCACTGATGACCCCAAGTTGACCTATGTGACCTGACGTGTCCCATATGACCTCTGCGACCTCTAAGTGACCTCTCTGATGACCTTAAGCTGACCTCTGTGACCTGACGTGTCCCAGATGACCTCCGTGACCTCCAATTGAGTTCTGATGACTCCAAGCTGACCTCTGTGACCTGATATGTCCTAGATGACCTCCAATTGACCTCACTGATGACCCTAAGTTGACCTCTGTGACGTGACGTGTCCCATATGACCTCTGCGACCTCTAGGTGACCTCTCTGATGACCCCAAGCTGACCTCTGTGACCTGACGTGTCCAAGATGACACCCATGACCTTCAATCGAGCTCTGTGATGACCCAAGTTGACCTCTGTGACTTGACATGTCCCAGATGACCTCCGTAACTTCCAATTGGGCTCTTTGATGATCCCAAGCTGACCTCTGTGACCTGACGTGTCCCAGAAGGGCCCCAATTGAGCTCTGCGATGACCATAAGTTGACCTCTGTGACCTGACGTGCCCCCAAGTTGCCCTTTGTGACCGACGTGTCCAAGATGACCCCCATGACCTTCAATCGAGCTCTATGATGACCCAAGTTGACCTCTGTGACTTGACTTGTCCGAGATGACCTCCGTAACCTCCAATTGAGCTCTTTGATGATCCTAAGCTGACCTATGTGACCTGACGTGTCCCAGATGACCCTCAATTGAGCTCTCTGATAACCCCAAGCTGACCTCTGTGACCTGACGTGTCCCAGATGACCCTCAATTGAGCTCTGTGATGACCCTTAGTTGACCTCTGTGACCTGACGTGCCCCCAGGTTGCCCTTTGTGACCGACGTGTCTCAGATTGCCTCCGTGGTCTCCAATTGAGTTCTGTGATGACCCCAAGTTGACCTCTGTGACTTGGCGTGTCCCATATGACCTCTATGACCTCTAAGTGACCTCTCTGATGACTCCAAGTTGACCTCTGTGACCTGACGTGTCCCAGATGACCTCCAATTGAGCTCACTGATGACCCCAAGCTGACCTATGTGACCTGACGTGTCCCATATGACCTCTGCGACCTCTAAGTGACCTCTCTGATGACCTTAAGCTGACCTCTGTGACCTGACGTGTCCCAGATGACCTCCGTGACCTCCAATTGAGCTCTGATGACTCCAAGCTGACCTCTGTGACCTGATATGTCCCAGATGACCTCCAATTGAGCTCACTGATGACCCTAAGTTGACCTCTGTGACGTGACGTGTCCCATATGACCTCTGGGACCTCTAAGGGACCTCTCTGATGACCCCAAGCTGACCTCTGTGACCTGACGTGTCCAAGATGACCCCCATGACCTTCAATCGAGCTCTGTGATGACCCAAGTTGACTTCTGTGACTTGACATGTCCCAGATGACCTCCGTAACCTCCAATTGGGCTCTTTGATGATCCCAAGCCGACCTCTGTGACCTGACGTGTCCCAGAAGGGCCCCAATTGAGCTCTGCGATGACCATAAGTTGACCTCTGTGACCTGACGTGCCCCCAAGTTGCCCTTTGTGACCGACGTGTCCAAGATGACCCCCATGACCTTCAATCGAGCTCTATGATGACCCAAGTTGACCTCTGTGACTTGACTTGTCCGAGATGACCTCCGTAACCTCCAATTGAGCTCTTTGATGATCCTAAGCTACCTATGTGACCTGACGTGTCCCAGATGACCCTCAATTGAGCTCTCTGATAACCCCAAGCTGACCTCTGTGACCTGACGTGTCCCAGATGACCCTCAATTGAGCTCTGTGATGACCCTTAGTTGACCTCTGTGACCTGACGTGCCCCCAGGCTGCCCTTTGTGACCGACGTGTCTCAGATTGCCTCCGTGGTCTTTAATTGAGTTCTGTGATGACCCCAAGTTGACCTCTGTGACTTGGCGTGTCCCATATGACCTCTGTGACCTCTAAGTGACCTCTCTGATGACTCCAAGTTGACCTCTGTGACCTGACGTGTCCCAGATGACCCCCATCTCTCTCTCTCTCCTCTCTCTCTATCTCTCTCTCTCTCTCTCTCTCTCTCTCTCTCTCTCTCTCTCTCTCTCTCTCTCTCTCTCTCTCTCTCTCTCTTTCTCTTCACGTGCCGGTGTCGTGGATCATATAGGCAAATATTGTACATACCAGTGTTGATCCCCAGTCTCTGACCGGACATGTATTTTTCCTTCCCGCAGGATGCCGGCGGCGGCGACGACAGTGCGCCGGCGCACATCTCTATGGAGGTGGACACGGCGACCCGTGGGCGACCGCCGCTGCCGCGGTTTGCTACAGGTGGCCATGGCCACTAATCTGTCACGAACTTCTGACAGTGAACGCCAGTCGGTTCTCGGATGTGAGGACGCGCCCGTCGAATCAAGTGACGGGATATGCACCGTGTGACAGTGTGCGTTTTCCGGGCGAGTTCGTTGCGCTGTGTGCCGGTCGTGCGCGGGACTGGTACCACCCGTCGTTCCACCAGTTCTCAGTGCTCCAGCGCGCCGTGTGCGATCTCAGTGCCGCCGCCGAGGAGAATGTGTGCCGCGAGCTGCCGCCCGAGGACCTGCCGGCGCTGACCCGGCTGGAGCCGCTGGCTGACGGCGCGCTGTCGCTGCGTCCGCCGACCCTGCGCCGGCCGCGCCGGGAGGCCGAGCTGCTGACCCAGCTGCAGCAGCTGGTGGCGGCCCTGGACGGCGCCTGCCTGGTGGCGGGTGGCAGCTGCGGGCGCCACGTGACGCAGTCTGCGCTCTCGGTAGCGCGCCACCTGGAGCCGCATGCAGACCGCGTTGCCAGAGCTGCGTCGTCTGACGTCGGGTCTGCTGCGACTGGTGACGCGCCAGAGGACGCGCTGGTCACCGCCGCGAGCCCGGATCGAGACGGACACGGAGACAGTTCCGAACGGAGCCTCCCTCACCAGGTGGGTCCTGCGGCGCCAATACTCGTCCGCAGGTGGGGCGAGATGGATAGGTATCTGAGCACTTGGGAGGGCAGTTGTCGGGTGATGACCCACGAGGTCACGCAAAGTAAGGGGAAGTAACATGAGTATGTAAGTGAAACCGCTTGATTGCGATGACCTCATGTGACCTCACCTAACTTCCGTGTGACCTCCCCGACCGTAGGACAATGCGTGATCTTGTTTTGTTTGTTTTGTTTGCTCGGTTTTATTGAATATTTTCACATGCGTAGACATCATACACTACAGTCCGGGATCGGTGCAAAAGCTTTTCAGCTTATTTCATGGCACCTCTCCTCACACACACTAGCTCATTCACACGTCATTCACGACAAGAAAAAACTTGTTTGACTTTGTGGGGCGTCGCCAGACTTATTATAGCTCATCTGACCTCTACTGATTCTTTGTGATCTCATATGACCTCTAGAGACTTCGCATGACCACGTGAGCTTTCCTCAACCTCCTTTTATCTCGCTGAACTTTGAGTGGCTTCTCCCACCCTCGCCTGACTTCCTGTGACCTCGTAGGACCTCGTTGTCTTCGTGTGACTACCTGTGACATTCTTTTGTTTTCCTGTGACCTATACCGACTTTTGTGACCTCGCCTAGCTGTAACCTCGCTCCTGTCAGCTTCTGTCAGCTCCCGTAAGCTCCTTGCAGCTCCCGTAAGCTTCTTTCAGCTCCCGTAAGCTCCTGTTTTCTCCTGTCAACTTCCGTGGACCTCTTGCAGCTCCCGTAAGTTCCTTTTAGCTCCTGGCAGCTCATGACAGCTCATGACAGCTGCCGTAGGCTCCTGGCAGCTCCTGTCAGCTCCCGTAAGTTGTATATCTGATCCCACCCTGACCATATTCCTGCCCTCACTTTCTTTGACTGTCCATTGTTCGTCGGTCGCCAGGAGAGCTTGACGCTGCTGCGAGCTTTACAGGGCTACTAGCGGTACGTCACGTGCTGCTGGTTTTCTAGAGACGGATGTTTGCTGATATTAGGCTGTTAAGACTGAGCCGTGATGCTGTGGCCGGTGGGAGTGCCGGCGCCGGTCGTGGTGGACCCGACGCCCAGCGCTCCGCTTCGCGCTGCTACCACACAGGTAGGGTTCGGCACACCGACTCCCGATGGCTACGTGGACAGTGAAAATATTGCAATGTTATGGTACAGGTAGAGTGACCGTTCCGTTCTTTGTCAGGTCTCTGAATGGAGCTGCGTTCCGGTGGGCGGCTGGCTGCGCTCTCTCGGTCTGGCCCAGTACGCCGACGCGTTCGTCGCCCGCTCTGTGGATGGCGCCCGGCTTCTGGGGCTCACCGAACAGGCTATGGAAGACGAGCCCGACGTCGGTGAGAGATTCACATTGCTAGCTGGGAAGGTGGATGTGACTCGAATTATTCAGTTCATAGCCTGATTTATTTAGCTCATTCTATTTATATGAATCGTATTGCCACTATTAACCTGACTCCTGACTCGTGATTGTGGTTGCCTCAGTTGTAGGCCTTAAGTGCACCGCATTTTGACAGGTCTCGACGTGGCGACCTCGAAGCCAGCGTGTTGGGTCTCGGCTTCCCGCCACTCACCGGCGGACCTTTCCGCTTCGTGGACCGCATCGGTCCCGCACAGCTAGTCAAGGACATGGAGCACTTGGCCGTCGTCAATGGCGTCGGCTTCGAGCCGTGCCTGACCGTGCACTACCAGGCCGCTAGCGGCACCAAGTTCTGTTCGGCCGGGCCTCGTGTAATGCCCACATGTGATGACCGAGTGTATACGCATGTGAAGCCGCTCCGCGTGTGTGCCAGCGCTGGGCGTGTTCAGTTTCAAAGTAAATATAGAACCGTGGTGATCAAGCTACAGTTGTTGACGAGAAATAGAGTGAGGTCATTTTGAAAGCGATCAGACGGTAGCGCCGCCGTTCTTTGGCACGCCTTAGCATGCATCTGTGCTACACTAAAAGTTTAGGCTCGTGTCTTTCAAGGTCAGCAGGGTGAGGGCACCAGGTACTTCAAGCGGCCTCGTCTCAGGTAGAGTTCTAATACTCGTTCTAATACTACCAACACACGTATCTAGTCAAGGAGCTGAGTTGAAATCGAGGGGATGGAGGGCTGTTCAGCCCCTTCACTGGGGGGTTCACGGTTCAGCCCCTCCCCCATCAGGCGCGAAAATCTAGGAGCCCAAGCGTGGAGTGAGATAACCTTTTCGACGGCATGTGATCGGGCATTGCATCGAATGACACTGGGCGATTGAAGATTTTTCAACTCGCTTGTCAATGCAAACATTTATTCACAACGAAAACAGACATAGGCACATGTAGATTGCTAATGGATAATGGATAATGGCAACGGGTAACACCCAGGTCGTGCGCCGTCTGCTGGAGAGCCAGCGGCTGGTGCGTCCCACGCGGGGTCGCCACAGACGCCGTTCGTCACCCAGACAGCCGGAGACCGGCGGACCGGCCGGGACGCCTAACGACAGACACACCGACCCCTCATGGCTATGTAGCGGGCTACCATTGAGAGGTCACGGAAAGGTCAGCTCATAATGTGCACGGCGTGACATACAGTGTTAATGTCATCCCGCGGACGCCGGACAGTGAAAAATTGGACAATGACATTTCGCCGTCAAGACGAGCTCTACTGTCTACAAGACACAAGTAGTCTACATACTGTCTGCTACCGAAACTACTGTCGAGCTAACAGTAAGAAATTACACAGGTCTAGATGCAATTTTCAGCGATGAACTTCGGTAGTGCATCGCTGTGCAATTTCAATCACAAGATATTCTTGTTCATACATATCGTATTATCGGCATGGCACTCGCTCGTTATCACGCTTATGTGGGCATACGGTAGCTCAAGGAAAATATGGATAATCGTAGAAGCCGGTATCAAGGAAATCCAGTGAGCACGAGCACGCAGTACACGTGGGTGCTTTTTAGTTTCCTGGACGGTCACGCTTAGTGTAGCTTAGCTCAGCCTTAAAAGATCATCACGGACACCGGGCTACGCGGCATTACATATATACCACCAGCAGACAGGATTTGATGCCCAGCAGACAAGCTTCTATCGGTGCCCCGCGCCGTCTCTCAACAATCGTCCACAGCCGCGGCTCCTGTGCACTGAGACGCTGTCACGACCGCGTCGCATTGCGACTGGAAGCCAGCCCACTGCCCGGTCTCTGCCGCGTCTCCGGCGGTTGGGACCTGTGCCGGGGGCGCCTCCTCCAACAGATTAGTGGCCATGGCCACCTGTAGCAAACCGCGGCAGCGGCGGTCGTCCACGGGTCGCCGTGTCCACCTCCATAGAGATGTGCGCCGGCGCACTGTCGTCACCGCCGCCGGCATCCTGCGGGAAGGAAAAATACATGTCTGGTCAGAGACTGGGGATCAACACTGGTATGTACAAAATTTGCCTATAGGATCCGCGACACCGGCACGTGAAGAGAAAGAGAGAGAGAGAGAGAGAGAGAGAGAGAGAGAGAGAGAGAGAGAGAGAGAGAGAGAGAGAGAGAGAGAGAGAGAGAGAGAGAGAGAGAGAGAGAGAGAGACATGGGGGTCATATGGGACACGTCAGGTCACAAAGGTCAACTTGGAGTCATCAGAGAGGTCACTTAGAGGTCACAGAGGTCAGATGGGACACGCCAAGTCACAGAGGTCAACTTGGGGTCATCACAGAACTCAATTGAAGACCACGGAGGCAATCTGAGACACGTCGGTCACAAAGGGCAACTTGGGGGCACGTCAGGTAACAGAGGTCAACTTAGGGTCATCACAGAGCTCAATTGAGGATCATCTGGGACACGTCAGGGCACAGAGGTCAACTTGGGGTTAGCAGAGAGCTCAATTTGAGTTCATCTGGGACATGTCAGGTCACAGAGGTCAGCTTGGAGTCATCAGAGCTCAAATAAAGGCCACGGAGGTCATCAGGGACACGTCAGGCAACAGAGGTCAACTTGGGGTCATCAGAGAGGTCACTTAGAGGTCGCAGAGGTCATATGGGACACGTCAGGTCACAGAGGTCAACATGGGGTCATCAGTGAGCTCAATTGGAGGTCCTTTGGGACATATCAGGTCACAGAGGTCAGCTTGGAGTCATCAGAGCTCAATTAAAGGTCACGGAGGTCATCTGGGACACGTCAGGTCACACAGGTCAGCTTGGGGTCATGAGAGAGGTCACTTAGAGGTCACAGAGGTCATATGGGACATGTCAGGTCACAGAGGTCAACTTGGGGTCATCACAGAACTCAATTGGAGACCACGGAGGCAATCTGAGACACGTCGGTCACAAAGGGCAGCTTGGGGGCACGTCAGGTAACAAAGGTCAACTTAGGGTCATCACAGAGCTCAATTAAGGATCATCTGGGACACGTCAGGTCACAGAGGTCAACTTGGGGTTAGCAGAGAGCTCAAGTGGAGTTCATCTGGGACATGTCAGGTCACAGAGGTCAGCTTGGAGTCATCAGAGCTCAAATAAAGGTCACGGAGGTCATCAGGGACACGTCAGGCAACAGAGGTCAACTTGGGGTCATGAGAGAGGTCACTTAGAGATCACAGAGGTCATATGGGACATGTCATGTCACAGAGGTCAACTTGGGGTTATCAGAGAGCTCAATTGGAGGTCATCTGGGACATGTCAGGTCACAAAGATCAGCTTGGAGTATCCAGAGAGGTCACTTGAGGTCACATAGGTCATATGGGACACGTCAAGTCACAGAGGTCAACTTGGGGTCATCACAGAGCTCAAGTGGGGGTCATCTGGGACACGTCAGGTCACAGAGGTCAGCTTAGGATCATCAAAGAGGTCAATTGGAGGTTACGGAGGTCATCTGGGACATGTCAAGTCACAGAGGTGAACTTGGGTCATCACAGAGCTCGATTGAAGGTCATGGGGGTCATCTTGGACACGTCAGGTCACAGAGGTCAGCTTGGGGTCATCAAAGAGGTCACTTAGAGGTCACAGAGGTCATATGGGACACGCCAAGTCACAGAGGTCAACTTGGGGTCATCACAGAACTCAATTGGAGACCACGGAGGCAATCTGAGACACGTCGGTCACAAAGGTCAACTTGGGGTCATCATAGAGCTCGATTGAAGGTCATGGGGGTCATCTTGGACACATCATGTCACAGAGGTCAACTTGGAGTCATCAGAGAGGTCACAGAGGTCACATGGGACACGCCAAGTCACAGAGGGGGTCATCACAGAACTCAATTGGAGACCACGGAGGCAATCTGAGACACGTCGGTCACAAAGGTCAACTTGGGGTCATCATAGAGCTCGATTGAAGGTCATGGGGGTCATCTTGGACACGTCATGTCACAGAGGTCAACTTGGAGTCATCAGAGAGGCCACAGAGGTCACATGGGACACGCCAAGTCACAGAGGTCAACTTGGGGTCATCACAGAACTCAATTGGAGACCACGGAGGCAATCTGAGACACGTCGGTCACAAAGAGCAACTTGGGGGCACGCCAGGTCACAGAGGTCAACTTAGGGTCATCACAGAGCTCAATTGAGGGTCATCTGGGACACGTCAGGTCACAGAGGTCAACTTGGCGTTAGCAGAGAGCTCAATTGGAGTTCATCTGGGACATGTCGGGTCACAGAGGTCAGCGTGGAGTCATCAGAGCTCAAATAAAGGTCACGGAAGTCATCAGGGACATGTCAGATAACAGAGGTCAACTTATGGTCATCACAGAGCTCAATTGGGGGTCTTCTGGGACACGTCAGGTCACAGACGTCAGCTTGGGATCATCAAAGAGCTCAATTGGAGGTTACGGAAGTCATCTGGGACACGTCAAGTCACAGAGGTCAACTTGGGTCATCACAGAGCTCGATTGAAGGTCATGGGGGTCATCTGGGACACGTCAGGTCACAGAGGTCAGCTTGGGGTCATCAGAGAGGTCATTTAGAGGTCGCAGAGGTCATATGGGACACGTCAGGTCACAAAGGTCAACTTATGGTCATCGCAGAGCTCAATTGGGGCCCTTCTGGGACACGTCAGGTCACAGAGGTCAGCTTGGGGTTATCAAAGAGCCCAATTGGAGGTTACGGAGGTCATCTGGGACATGTCAAGTCACAGAGGTCAACTTGGGTCATCACAGAGCTCGACTGAAGGTCATGGGGGTCATCTTGGACACGTCAGGTCACAGAGGTCAGCTTAGGGTCATCAGAGAGGTCACTTAGAGGTCGCAGAGGTCATATGGGACACGTCAGGTCACAGAGGTCAACTTGGGGTCATCAGTGAGCTCAATTGGAGGTCATCTGGGACATATCAGGTCACAGAGGTCAGCTTGGAGTCATCAGAGCTCAATTGGAGGTCACCGCGGAGGTCATCTGGGACATGTCAGGCCACACAGGTCAGCTTGGGGTCATGAGAGAGGTCACTTAGAGATCACAGAGGTCATATGGGACATGTCAGGTCACAGAGGTCAACTTGGGGTCATCATAGAGCTCGATTGAAGGTCATGGGGGTCATCTTGGACACGTCAGGTCACAGAGGTCAGCTTAGGGTCATCAGAGAGGTCACTTAGAGGTCGCAGAGGTCATATGGGACACGTCAGGTCACAGAGGTCAACTTGGGGTCATCAATGAGCTCAATTGGAGGTCATCTGGGACATATCAGGTCACAGAGGTCAGCTTGGAGTCATCAGAGCTCAATTGGAGGTCACCACGGAGGTCATCTGGGACACGTCAGGCCACACAGGTCAGCTTGGGGTCATGAGAGAGGTCACTTAGAGATCACAGAGGTCATATGGGACATGTCAGGTCACAGAGGTCAACTTGGGGTCATCATAGAGCTCGATTGAAGGTCATGGGGGTCATCTTGGACACGTCAGGTCACAGACGTCAACTTGGAGTCATCAGAGGTCACTTAGAGGTCACAGAGGTCATATGGGACATGTCAGGTCACAGAGGTCAACTTGGGATTATCAGAGAGCTCAATTGGAGGTCATCTGGGACACCTAAGGTCACAGCGGTCAGATTGGAGTCATCAGAGAGCTCAATTGGAGGTCACTGAGGTCATCTGGGACACATCAGGTAACAGAGGTCAACTTGGGGTCATCACAGAGCTCTGTTGGAGATCATGGGGGTCATCTGGGACACATCAGCTCACACAGGTCAACGTGGGGTCATCATAGAGGTCACATAGAGGTTACAGAGGTCATATGAGACACGTCAGGTCACAGATGTCAACTTGGGGTCATCACAGAGCTCAATTGGAGACCACGGAGGCAGCTGAGACACGTCGGTCGCAAAGGGCAACTTGGGGGCACGTCAGGTCACAGAGGTCAACTTATGGTCATCACAGAGCTCAACTGGGGGTCTTCTGGGACATGTCAGGTGTCTGAGTTCAGCTTGGGGTCATCAGAGAGATCACTTAGAGGTTACAGAGGTCATATGGGACACGTGAGGTCCCAGAGGTCAACTTGGGGTCATCACAGAGCTCTGTTGGAGATCATGGAGGTTATCTGGGACACGCCAGGTCACAGAGGTCAGCTTGGAGTTATCAGAGCTAAACTGGAGGTCACGGAGGTAATCTGGGACACGTCAGGTCAAAAAGGTCAACTTGGGGTCATCACAGAGCTCATTGGAGGTCATGGGTGTCATCTGGGACACGCTTTTGGAATCGGGAGAATTTTTGGGGGATGACCCTTGCAACGTCCAAGACCGCCTTTCTGAGGGCTGTTCACGGGCCCTGTGTGCGGTCGGACCGCACACAGCCTCGAAGCTCCACCCACTGCGTCCCTACGTCAGCCTTCCGTCACCGCACACAGCGATCGCTGTGGCCGGTCGGGACTGGCCACAGCGGACCGTCCACCGCACGCAGCCGTGACGTCAGAACCACCTACCCATCCCCTACCCCCACGCCTGCTGGACGCACCGCACACACTGCACGCAGCAGTGTGCGGTGCCCGTGAACACCCCTCTGGATTCGCCAGTACCTAGTTCAAGTTGCTGGAATGGTGTTAGGCTACTTCCAATCCCTGAATACCCCAATAAATGTGAAATAGTACCTATATTATGCACCATTTTCAACACTCTCGCTGGCATGGATGGAGGCCTCATAGACGACCTGTCAGTTCAAGCTCTATAACTTGCGTTAGCCTCAACGGATTGCAACAAAATTTTCAGGATCTCAAGTTCAAACAAATTTACACGTACCAAGTAAATTTCGAGACAATGACCCGAATGACCTGTGAGCTCTTCCCCAAGGCAAGGTCAACTTGCGACACTGACACTACTTACAACTGCTATTTCAATTTTGTAAGTTGTGTCGCAAATCAGGCAATGTGCAAAAGATTAGAATTACAATAACTCACACCAAAACACACTATACCTACCAAATCAAGTTCTTCAGCACCCCTGAAAACCTGCATACCAATTTTGGCGAAAATTATAGGTGCTCGGACTGATGACCTTGAAATTCAACCAATTCAACCCTACGTAACTCCGTAAATATGGCGGGCCGTAATATATAAATATGTATTCTTAATAAGGACGATGTAGTGTTTACATGTACAGATTCTGATGGAAATCGTAGGGGCTCGCTACGATGACCTTGAAATTCAAACCTCCGTAACTTCGTAAATATGGCGGGCCGAGCTTAAATTTTGTGATATTCGTAATAAAGAGCTCCTAAAGGGCCCGTATACAAATTTTGACGGAAATCGTAGGGGCTCACCCAAATGACCTTGAAATTCAAACCTCCGTAACTTCGTGAATATGGCGGGCCGAGCTTAAATTTTGTGATATTCGTAATAAAGAGCTCCTAAAGGGCCCGTATACAAATTTTGACGGAAATCGTAGGGGCTCTCCCGAATGACCTTAAAATTCAAACCTCCGTAACTTCGTTAATATGGCGGGCCGAGCTTAAATTTTGTGATATTCGTAATGAGGAGCTCCTAAAGGGCCCGTATGCAAATTTTGACGGAAATCGTAGGGGCTCTCCCGAATGACCTTGAAATCCAAACCTCCGTAACTTCGTAAATATGGCGGGCCGAGCTTAAATTTTGTGATATTCGTAATGAGAAGCATCTAGAGTGTCCGTACACAAATTTTGACGGAAATCGTAGGGGCTCTCCCGAATGACCTTGAAATTCAAACCTCCGTAACTTCGTAAATATGGCGGGCCGAGCTTAGGTTTTGGATGCATCGTAATCAGGACGTTACGTACTATCTACTGACCAGGTTTGGTCCAAATCGTAGGGGCTCGCCTGATTCCGAATCTTAGATTATAGATTAGGATTCGCTTACATCTAGCTTGACGACCGTAAGTAGTAACTTACTTTAGCTCAACGAATCATGATGATATCGCTTTTGAACATACAGAAATACTTTACAAGTGCGCCGTTTCTGTATTTTTGAATACTGCCATATTAGCATTATACAGCTACCAAACACAGGCGTAAATGAAAAATGCTTGATGGGAGTAAAAATGGGAGTAAAGTAATCTTGAATGAGAGTAAAGCGTGAAATTTAGGCAAAAATTCAGACGTCCACGGCTTTGCACTGTGGCGCTTGGGTAAAGAGGTAAAGTATAAACCTTTTATTGGGTAGAAGCAGTAAGAGTACAGTACCAGTACATTTTGTACATCTCAATTTTGTGGTAGGCTCTAAAAAGGTAAAAACCTCAAAAGACTGTAATGGGGTGTATGCATTTGTATACATGCGCACAACCAGGCCCATGTCGTCCCCTATCTCCGCGTGTGTCCACTAACACGAATGACGTCACGCATGTGGGCGGAGCTATGGGCGGAGCCTAACGCACGCGGCAGTCCAAGCCGCCATATTTGAATTTATATTTTAATAGAATCTTGCCGATATTTTGGGTGAAGTCAATTTATATGGATAGCTTGGTGACAGTTTAGCTATACGAATAATAATTTATTATGGATGTGCGTATATTCAGCTTGGAATTGCAATTAAAGTTCCGCACCGCATAGATTCGAACTCGGGACCTTTGGAATACTGCGCGGGCACGCTAACCACTACACTACCGCGACCGCGCGGCGGCCGGCGGCAGGGAGGCTGCGGAGACATGAGGGGACATTTTACGATTTTGTGAAAAAAGCAAAAGATTTAGCGAAAAACACGTAATAGATAACTTGCAGAAAATTGTCTGCTCTTTCAGATAAGATACTTAGGTTTGATATATCTTGTGCAGACTTCATTCTACAGTGCTTCGAAAATCGCTCATTTACATGGGGATTGAACGGGGCTTCGAGACTTGACTCCAAATGACGTCACGAGCTGACGTCACGAAAAGGTAGAATCGCCGGACGACCCTACCTGGTATATAGGGCCTTGCGCACAACTGTTTATCCCAATTTACTGCAAATATGGTAATGTGAGTGTGACTGCATGATTGCTGGAATGAATGCTGAGGTATTGACAACATACCAAATCCACAACAAACGTGACAACTGAACTGGCCGCAGTTAGAGCTTAGTCGCACCATTGAGGTGTGGACCCTGCCATAAGGTAAGGTAGCGGGTGGGGGTCACTGGACTCAACTCCCCAGCTATTTTGTCTCTTTATGGCAGCTATAGGTATTGGTGTGCATTTTTTAGTTGGACCTCCCCTTGTCCTAAATGGTGGCGAAGCCCTTCTGCCCTCGGTCAATCTAACCATCAAATTGAGCATTGACAATAATCCACTGACCACAATTGACCTGGGGTTAATATTAATATACATGGAGTGTAATGCGGCATATGCAGTATATTGGCTTTGATGCATGGTTTACTACATAGTACATGATGAGAGTTGCAAACATCAATATTACCTACCTTAGTAAAAATTGGTAGGTTTCTATAGGTGTTTCACACAAAGATTGAGATGGAAAAAGGAAGCTGAAATCTGTTTGGTAGGTGTGCTGCATGTAGAGTATAGTAATTATGTTGACATCAAACATGATGAAATATGAAGTTATTGTATCAGTTTTCACCCGACACTGGCATGCTGTTTATTAGGTATTACGCAGATGGCTATCTGAAGTGATTGTATGCAAACCATCACATAAGCATTTAGCTCTAACTCATGAATGTGTTAGCAATTGAATGTGGCTGTTCCAGGTAACTGTGTGCTGGTGGCAAAAATGAGCACCCCACCAGATGGGGAGGTTAGGAGGACCTCCAAGGAAGTGCAGAATGCTGCATTGGAAAGAGATCCAGACCAGGACAGTCTTGACAGTGACAGTCTAGGGGAGAGAGAGGATGTCATCTGCTCAATCCAAGCACAACCTGGTGAGTCTGTCTTTCAGACATCCTTTCGCTTAATATTCAGTGCTTATATGCAAGTTTGCAACAATGAAGTATTAAGTGTGTAAATTTCCCACTGATAAAATGTGCATGTTTTCCAGGTCACACAAACTCAAGTCCACGTGCTAAATGCTTCATCAACGCCGCAGAGCTGATGGGCGACGGGGACTGTGAGCCGGTGGGGGCTGACCTGGACCGTGGGCCGACCCGGGCGCGGCCTGACGTGCTGCCGCCGGCCACCTCACCGCCGCCGGTGGCCGGACCGCCGCCCCCGCCCGCCGAGGTGGCCCGGATGCAGATCGAGGAGAAGCGCAAAGGCAGCCTGCTGTTCAACGGCTCTGGCTGCAGCAGTCCGGAGCGCACCGCCGACCACGACCTGGGCGAGGTGCCGGCCGGCCGGCTGTGGGCCGACTCGGCGCGGCCCGACCTGGTGGCCGGGGAGGATTGCACCGACAGTGTGACCGGCTCGCCGGGCCGCCGGCCGCCCGTCCCGCTGGACGAGGTGCCGATCGTAGCCGGCCACCACGAGCCGGTGACGCCGACACCGCTGCCGCCGCGCCGGCCGCCCGACTCGCAGCACGTCTTCTTCGTGGACTTGAACGAGCTGCCGACGGCCGCCGAGCCGCCAGTGCCGCGCCGACCCCGCCACGGATCCGACTCTGTCTACCTCTACATCGACATGAACGAGACCGGCGCGGCGGCGGCGCCGCAGCCCCCACGCCCCCCGGCCGGCGACTCCATGAGCCTCTCATTCCACGGCGCCACGGCGGCGGAGCGGCGCCTGGCCGCCGAAGCGGACGGCGATGAGGACTCTGAGCAGACGGAGGCCTCGGGCCGCAGTCTGTTTTACACGGTGGGCGAGACGGAGCGGCCGCGCCGGCCGCCGCCCGAGCTTACCACCCGCGTGGTGCGCCAGGAGAAGCGGCGCCGCAACCTCAGCCTTGACTGCCAGGCGCGGACGGAGCAGGAGCGCGGCCGGCCGGCGGCTCCCAGTCCGCTGGTGGGCGCCGACCGGCCGGCCCGGCCCGACGGCCACGCCAGTCTGGGCGCCACGCCGGAGGCGGCCCGGCGCGCCGCGCGTCCCGTCCAGCCGCGCCGCCAGCAGGGCCGGCCGCGCGCCGCCGCCGGTACCAGCGCCGGCCGCCGCCCGGACTCCGGCTCCGGCCGGGAGCGGGACAGCCTGGAGAGCGTCGGCCCGCCGCACCGGCCGGCCGCCTCGGCGCCGGCGCGCCGCCGCTCCACCGAGCCGTCCGGCGGGTCCCGCGCCGCGCCGACCGGCCGCCGCGCGACGTCACGAACCGAGCCCAGCGGGCGGCGGCCGGCCACAGGGGCTCCCGAGCCGGCGGTGCCCGTACAGCGCTCGTTCCTGCGCTCACACTCGGGGAGGAACGCGGTGTCGCGGCCTCCGCCGCCGCGACCGGCCGCCTCCAGTTCGGCGGAGAGCGGCGGCACGCTGACCCGTCGGAAGGGGACCACTCGACCGGCGCCGGCGCACCAGCGGCCTCCGCCCGGCCCGCGGGAGCCTCCGTCCAACCCACCCGAGTCGCCGCCCGTCTCAGACGACGCGTCAGACGTGTCCTCCGGCAAATCCTTCAGGCGCCGTGAGTACTGGGAGGGCAGCTGACATTTTTCAGGGGTTAGCTGGGAACGCGCAGATGCTGACGAAAATAAATGATCCAGCGGTCGGCTGTGACTGATGTTGTCCACTGGTCTCCCCTCCCCAGAGTCCCCTGAGACGCGCAACAAGCAGGGCATCGACCAGCTGACAGCCGACCTGCTGCAGATGCTCTCTGATGGGCTGCACGCCGACGTTACCATACAGGTCAGCGGTGAGGGCCGGGGGTGGTGCAATGCTGTATAGAGGTCAGCTGAGAACCGCGGGGGGGGGACAATGCTGTCACACTGTAGGTCATCTGAGACCTGGTGCATAGTGCCATCACAAAGTCCTTGGCGGCTGACGCTGACTTACAGCTAACGGTGCTGGTCGTTTCTACTTCTTCTGCTTCTGCTTCCTCACACGAATTGTGTGGGCGCGCGAATAAGTTCGAGTGCGCGTGCATGCGTGTGTGCTTGTTTGTGTCGGCTGATCAGGAGCTCTAACTCCGTATCTGCCGTTCCCGCCCCGCAGGTGGACAATCAGGAGGTGTCGGCGCACCGCTGTGTGCTGGCCGCCCGCTCCCAGTACTTCCGAGACCTGCTCGACAAGCCGCACCACAACGTCATCCATATCGACGGGTCAGTGGCCGGCGACACTGCCGCAGGGTGTGATGTGTCTGTGTGGGTGCCATTCCTGTGTGACGCATAACTTTACACTGACATGCGGTGTCACAGCTGACACCGTCTCTGTTCCGTCACTGACGCCGCCTGCGCTGCTCCGACAGCCACAAGCTGGAGACGGTGGAGTTCGTGCTGTTCCACCTGTACTCGGGCGCCATGTACGTGCCGGAGGACGTCGACCTCAGCGACCTCATCACGCTGGCCGTCATGCTGAACCACAAGGCGCTCATCCGGATGGCTGAGTTCGCCATGCGCGTCCGGCTTTGTCACATGTTCCACAAGGTACGCACCAGGGGATCGTGCAGATCCATGCGGATACAGGCACGGTCGACGCGACCGACTGCCGCAAGGGATGCTCGCCATTCTGTGTGTCGCTCATCTGTCTGCATTTTTTTTTACTCCATGTCGTTAGCATATACCTACTTTCATCAGTACCATTTCTGTATTCTATTATATCGGTACTCCCGATCTCCCAGTCGGTGATCCCAGTGTATAACCTGTTACCGGTCTGTGACCACTGAGGTCTGACTGCCTTTTGGCCGCTCTGTGACGGCTCTCTGGCCGCTATATAACCGTCCTGTAACAGCTGTGTGACCGTTCTGTAACATCTGAGTTCTGACTGCCATCCGTGACCGCCACGCACATGTCCCGTGCAGCCGTGCAGCGAGTGCATCCCGGGCGTGCTGGAGACGCTCTGTACGGCCGCCGACTGCGACCTGGACGACCTGGCGGCGCGCTGCCTGGCCTGGGTCACCCAGAACCGGGTGGCCGTCTGGGCCGACCCGAGCTTCAGCGAGATCACCGACGAGTACCGCGCCTGGTGCTTCCAGGAGGCGGCCACACTGGTGAGTGGACAGCGAGTCGTCTCCGGATGGTAGCAGCTGACCCTGACCTGACCTGACCTGGGTATTAGCCACTCTGGTGTGTCGGACAGTGAACTGTCCCTGACCGGTGGCAGCACCCTCCCCGGACCGGACCTGGCACCGAGTTACGGTTTCCTCCATTGATAGGAGGCGGGCCACCGTTGTTGGTCGGACAATCACTCTTTTTCCTGAATCTTGGGTCGTCATCTGACTAGACCGGACCACCTTCCCCTGATCTGGGTCTGGGTGGCGATCCCTTTCCGTTTATCAATACCGAGACCTTTCAGCGGGACGTCATTTCCTGCCGGTGCTGCACAGACTTCCAGTCGATATGTCCCAAACGATAATCGAGCTGACGGCTGACCGCTGTCCGGTGTGCGCAGAGCCAGGAGACGGTGCTGGACGTGCTGCTCGACTGCCGCCGGCTCTCGGCCCAGCTGCCCGCCGAGCGCTGGTCACAACAGGTCCGGCAGATGGTCGAGACGCTGCTCAGCAACTCGGTCGTCTTCCTCAGCAGGAACCTGGGCGCCATCCTCGTCTCCGACAAGTGAGAGAGCTGTGTCCGTGGGCTGGATTTACCAGTATCCGCTGTTCTGTTGTTGTGAATTTGTATGGTATACAGTGATACAGTGATAGGTTACGTCACGGGTGTTCTTTGTCCTTGTCCTTGCTAGGGTTCTGCATTACTCTGCTCTGTGTACCAGTACGTGTCTGGTGGCCCACGGTTGCCCTGTGACCGGTGCGTGCGCCGCCCTCAGGTTCATGTCGCTGGCCGAGACCACCTGCTGCAGGGAGCTGGAGCAGTACCTGCTGGCGGCGGCCGACGTGCAGAACAGCGCTGACGCCCACACCAGCCTCGAGATGATATCGCAGCTGCAGAGCATCCCCAACCACGGCTGGGATAAGGTTAGAACGTACCCTACCCCAACCGCAGCTGGTACTAGGTCAGACCGTCAGTCCCCAACCACGGCTGGGATAAGGTCAGAGCATCCCCAACCACGGCTGGGATAAGGTTAGAACATACCCTACCCCAAACACAGCTGTGTACAAGGTCAGACCGTCAGCCACCAACCACGGTCGGGAAAAAGGTCAAAGCGCTGCGCCCCACCTATTGCATGTTATATATTACATTCCTTTTTTTAATATTTGTGTGTGGTTTTCAGTTTGTATGTGTAATTGTATTTTTTTATAACGTGATTTTGACATTTTTCTGGACAATTTTGATGCAAAATGACGAATGGTTCCAAAATTTGGCATGGTAATAGGATAGTGTCAGCAGCGAGCGTCGTAGATGGGAGGTCACGCTGTAACGCTGCCAGAATGTGACTAATGTTGCCGGGAGGAAGTCGTCCGCTAACGGCATGCCAGCCTAATATCTATACGATACGTTGTTCAACAGAGCACATAACGTGGAATACTCTGGTTTCCAATGTAGTTTCAAGTCTGCTTTGGATGAGCTGCTATGTGTGAAGGGTTTCGATGCACTGCACTGGGGTGAGTATGGTTCATTTGGGCTTTGGCCTCCATTTGATGCCAATGACCGTCAATTTTTCTAATAATTTCTTATTCCTGCAGCGCGGCGGGTCCCTGTAATGTCCTTGTGCTAAGGTCACGCACTGAAATAATCTAGCTAATCCAAATTATCGGATAATCGCCCACTCCCATGGTGCTGCACGTAGGTATAAGAGGGCACTCATCGATGTCCGTGCTCGGTGTGCCTTTCGACCCTCCACCTCACCATTTATCTCAGGGACTTGGGGCGCGCCTGCGCGATGGCCTATTTATCAGCTCGCTTTCGCTGTTTGCCGCGTATGAGCAGCACGTTATGCGTTTTTTCGCTACTAAACGCGTTTTGATGCTCGTGTGCTTACTTTTGGTTTGATCCTTTTTTGGCTTCAAGCCAAGTGATTTGTGTTTTTGTTTTGTTTTAGTTTGAGCTTTGCCTTGCTTAGCATGCTTGGAGTTCTCCAGAGAAGACGGCGCTCAGGTGAGCCAGTGTTATTGATCCTAGCGTTTCTCAGGTGAGTCAGTGTTATTGATCCTAGCGTTTCTCAGGTGAGTCAGTGTTTGGCGCTCGTGTCTCTCACATGAGTCAGTGTTAGGTGAGCGTGGTTCTCAGGTGAGTCAGTGTTTGCAGCTCGTGTCGCTCAGGTAAGTCAAGGCTTAGTGCTCGTTAGGTAAGCCAATGTTTAGTGCTCGCGGCACAGGGTGCATGGATATAGCATGCTGATTGCCTAGCAAGCTAGGCTGAGACGAATTATGAAGCTGCCGCGTGTCTGTTTAGTCCCTGTCGTGGATGTGTTTCAGTTCAATTTAATGCATTAGTGTCGTGGTGTGCTCAATTCTACTTTTTTATTTCTCTCGAATTACCGTAGTTTCGTGCAACTTTGACCACCAAGGGCAACTTTGGCCCACGCCTGGAAAACTAATTTATTTTGCTGTAAATTTTTACACTTAGGGGAAGCTGGGGTAAAACGGCCAGGGAAGCCTACGCTGACCGTCTTACCCCACTTGTGTAAAACGTTACAGCAAAACAATATACGAATACTGCATGGGGGAGCGGGCAATAGCAAAAAATATTGCCCGATGTGACGTCACTGTCGCCCGAGGGTGAAGACCGAAACAAGTGCTATTGCCCGAGGCGAAGCCGAGGGCAATAGCACTTGTGGAGGTCTTCACCCGAGGGCGACAGTGACGTTACAGAGGGCAATATTTTTGCTATTGCCCGCTCCCCCATGCAGTATTCGTTTTATTACATGGCCAACTCTCGGAATCTTTACTTAGTACCTACTCATTCATCCCGTAATAAAAAATATCCAAACACAAATATCATGGTACAATTGAATGTATTAGATATACAATCATAGCCACGTCACATGTCTACGGCACACACTTAGTTGTTTTCTGTTTTCTGTTTCTGTTTTCTGTTTCACGCCGTACTTGAGAGTGTGGAGACTCTTCGATTTGTAGCGTTCGCCGTCCTTGCGTTTTACAGTAATGAAGAACTCCTTCACAGCGTTGTCCAGGACATCGTTGCTGTGCATGCAGCTTTCAACAGATATGCCTTTTACTTGCAAGAACTCAATGAAGACGTCTTCTGCTGATTTAATCACCTTTTTAGTGCCCTGAGCACTGCGCGATGAAAATAGCTCATCCAATTCATGCGGCTCCAACAAATTAAATCGGGGCATTTGAACGGACATGTTCAAATGACGGCCCAGTTCTAGATGACTTGACTAGCCAATCACGAAATCAAACTGAACAGCAAGGCCGTATAAGTTAGGTAAGATCGTCCGGGCTCGCTAATGTTACAAATCTGCAACACTACGGTGACGTCACCGGGGCATACGCTCCCCGGCTCGATCCGGACCCTGATGTGGCGGCTGCAATCGCTGCCAATCGAAAAATTACTTCTGCAATAGCGCTTTTAAATGACTTTAAAAAAGGGGAAAATGTGATAACAAAATAATTATGAGAATTCCTTGTCCTGACTTGGATCGTATGACCCCGCCACCTAGTGGACAACGCCGTAATTAGGGTTGAGTTGGCGATCGCCAGGTGGCTCGTCAGAAAGCTGTCAGCCGCAGGCAGGAGGGGGCCTGCAGGCGCTTAATATTATGTTAACGCCAGGTTATGCTCAGGAAAATGCGACACGCTTCGGAACGGTCATTTATCTCGAAAAGATGCGGTGCCCTGTGGTGTTATTCCCACATGAATCGGGACCCGTAGGCCGAGGGCTCACCTTTAGCGCCCTTCTGTCTGTTCGGCGCTCTTCTGCTCTGTCGGCGCCCTTGACCTTCTCGGCCTTCAGCGCTCTCCTGGCCTGTCGGCGCCCTCTTCACATTCGGAGCCCTCCGGGCAGACCAGTTGGCGCCCTCATGGGCATTATCACACAGCATCCTCCGGATCTGTCTCGTCCTCCACTATGTCAGCACCCTCCTGACCTGGCAGCGCCCTCCTTATCGTATTATAGCGCCCTCCTCACCGTACAGTGTCCTCCTGACCTATCGCCATTCTCCTCACTGTATAGCGGCCTCCTAACCATACAAATTACAAAGCCCTCCAGACCGAGCCCTCTACGTTCAGCGCCCTCCTGACAAGTCGGTGCCCTTTTCACCGTAGAGGGCCCTCCTGATCTGTCGGCGCCCTCATGACCGTACATCGCCTTCCTCACCTGTCCGCGGCCTCCTCTTTATACAGTATCCTCCTGGCCTGTCAGCGCCCTCTTCACTCGTATAATGCCCTTCTCATTGTATGGCATCCTCCTCACCACACGGCGCCCTCCTGACCTGTCGGCGCTCTCCACACCATACAGCGCCTTGCTGACTTGTCGGCACCCTCTTCACGGACAGCGTCCTCCAGATCTGTCGCAGCCCTCATAACCGTGCGGCGTGCAGTGCTCTCCTCACCTGTTAGCGCCCTCCTCGCCTGTCGGCGACATCTTCGCGTTCAGCGCCCTCCTGACCAGCCGGCGCCCTTTGCAACGCATAGCGCCCTCATCACCATGCATCGCCCTCCTGACCAGTCAGCGTTCATCGTACAGCGCCCTCCTGACCTGTCGGCGCCCTCCTCACAACACATCGCCCTTCTGACCGCTTAGCGTTCTCCTCACCATGCAGACAATGCAACAGTGTACAATTAGGAAATCGTTAAGGAACCTATGTTTAACCCTCGCCGGCACAGGCCATTTTGAGTCATTCGACGGCACAAGGGGGGGGGGGGTACGACCCCCCACCCCCCTCGCATTTGGCCCCTGATGGAGCTAGAGCTTCGCGGAAAAAACGAGCGTGTTGCAAGTCACGAGAGGAAGCCAATGATATCCAATTTTAAGGTCCTAGGTCATCGGTTGACCTTCCAGGTCAGGTCAATGACCCAAAAATCGGGAATATCGGGACCTGTTAGAAAGTCGTAAAGTGTGGCTGCTAAGGGGTTTTCCGGGGTGCTGATCACGAATATCGTGTTAGTTTTGATCACAGATGATGTCGTTAAGCGTTCAGACCAGGTCGGGTCAGGTCAGAGGTCAACCGGTAGGGGTCGTGACGGGTATTCGTAGTACCTGTCATCCGTCTCTGACAGCTTCGTAACATGTTACGAAGGCACCAAAACTACTTCGTAAATGTTCAAATGGTTGCTAAATTCGAATTCAGCTCCAAAAACTAGCCTAGAAACATGTAAAACTCGAAAAAGTGAACCGAGGTCACCAAAGGTCAATGACCTGACCTGACCTTCAGGTGACCTTGACACCCACCCTAATGCATGGGAGCAGCATCAAATCACATGTTTGGACGATTGAAACCACGAAAAGCTTGCAAACGCGCGGCTAATGCGAGCCGACATACGCCGAATCGTGATTCCGGCCAAACATGCTCTCGGAAAAGAGGTCACAGGTCAAAGGTCATTTGGGTCAGGGTCATGAAATTTTCAGGGTAGGTGTCAAATTGATCAATGCGAGGATAGGTACTGAAAGTTTCGTCGTGATCGGCCGCATTTTACGCGAGTCATTGACTCATTCGCGAAAAACCTTAGGGGCTTTAACCCTGTGCCGGCGAGGGTTAAAGTGATTGTAGGCGCGAATTAGTAATGAAGCAATTTCCGGAAAATAAAATCATGACAACGTTTCTAGCGTTTCCGGAACGTTTCCGGAAAAGAACTTGTTTACAACCGTGACCCTCAAAATCAAATGCAAGACCAAACTTGCGGCGAAGGCCAGCTGAGAAGTGTACGCCCCCGTGACGTCACGGCTAATGTTAAAGAGTCGGGCGCCCGGCACATAGGAAAGCTCGGGATGACAGCCCCCTGCTGAACAGTCTGAGAAAACGACGATAAAATTACGACATTTGAATTTTTGTTCAAACACCACTGCGCGAGCAACTTACTATTGACCGTTGACATGGCAACCGCTTCTCACCTTCAGAAAGGTCAGTAACCTGACACTGAAAGGTCAGTAACCTGATGCCGGGCAATAGTAAAAAATATCTCATGCCAAATTAACACAGGAGCCATGTAATAAATTAGTTTTTGAGGAGTGGGCCAAAGTTGCCCTTGGTGGCCAAAGCTGCACGAAACTACGGTACTATTTTCGTTCCGATTGTCAATTCTATAACTCAAGCTTATTTGTTTTATCGTGATGCCTTGTGCTGGATTCACTGAACCAGCTGTGTGTCGTGCATAAGCTATATGTGATGTGTTAGCTTTGTATATGGATTGAGCGATGTGTATTGTGTTCTATGTAGAGCAGTGCCGCCTTTGCCATCTGGCTGCCTTCCGTCGTCCCCTTCTGACAGTGCTCCTGCCGTCCCCTCTGACGGTGTCTCTGCCGGGTCCGTAGGCGTTCCTGTCTGTTCTGCAGCGCATCAAACAGGTGTGCTGCCGCCGCGCGTCCGGCGGACAAAACTACGCCAGCCTGCACATGCAGCGGCGCACCGTCCGCTCCCACCAGGTCAGTGTGGCTTCGAGACCAGACCGGGAACAGAACAGACCTCAGCCGGGGTCAGTCGGGGTCAGTCGGGTCACAGGTCAGTGACAGGCGAACGCTTTGTGTCTGTCTGGCCAGCCGACCGACTTTTGCAGCACTCGCTGCTCAGATCGGAAGGGCAGCCTCACGTATGTCGAAAGTCTCAGCTAACATGATTACATGTTGGTCTTTCTCTGTCCTCGTGGTAGTTTTGTCTTTGTTTGCCGTTGTCTTTGCTCGTAGCCTTGTCTTGCAAAGTTGCTTCAATCATTCTTTTTGTTTTGTCACGAGAGCGCATGCGCTGTTTGTTGGCTTTACGCTTTAGTAGTGTCCTTCGTATTTCGTTTATGTTTTATGCCTCCTCGTTTTAGAGAGAGCCAGTCTCTTCGGCACAGACTAAACCCCAGCCAGAATCGGCACAGTAAAGCCGACCCACCCAGCACGTGTTATGAGAACCTCCGGTGAGTACTAAATCCTGCACGCTAGGCTAGTATCAAAAACGGGCGTTCTGTAGGATTTGTAGTTTGTTGTATTTGTTGGTGCCGTTGCAGATAGGTTGTTCGTTGTCCTGTCGGCAGTTTCCGACGTCGGTTACCAGTGAGCCCCTCTGACTGGGGTCTGTGAGCAGTAAGCCTCTCTGACCGGAGTGCCGTCCGTGCCGACAGGCTGCCGGCGCCGACCACTCCGCCGCGGGCCGCGGCCGGTCGGGGCGCCTCTCCAGTGACTCGGAGGAGCCGGCGGCGCCGCGCGCGCGCGCCACCTCGCGGCCCGGCTCTGGCAGCTCGGCCGAGTCGCGCTCGCCGTACCTGCGCCGCAAACACCTGCTGGGTCTGGACGGCGCCGCGGAGCCGTCGGCCGCTGGCGGGAACGGCGCGCGGCGCCAGAACGTGCGCGGCGCCGCCGGCGAGGCCATGACGCAGAGCGTGGTGGCCGAGCCGGTGAGCGCGTCTGCAGAAACAACGGGCATGAACCGGTCCGAGAGCTTCACCATCTACAAACACGAGTGATCTGACCCGAGAGTCTCAACAGCTACAAACATCAGTGAACCGGCCGAGAGTCTCACCATCTACAAACACGAGTGAACGGGCCGCGCCATCTACAAACACCAGTGAACTGACCGACGATACACCGGGTATGGACCGCTCCGGGAGACTGCGCTATCGAAGTAGAAACCGGCCGGTCCGAGGGTGCCACGGCCGTGACTGCTCTCGACCGGCGTGTGACTGGACCGTGGACACTATACACAGTGCCGGTGTGGTACACTGGACAGTCTGCACAGCCTGCAGTACCGGTGTGGCACACTGAACAGTGGACAGCCGCTGCACCGATGTGGTACACTGGACAGTGGGTAGGGTTCTACAGTACCAGCGCCTGACTGGACAGGCGCGCAACTGCCAGCACCCAGCAGCTTACGGTCGCCGAGCACGCCACGGGCATATTCTGTTCGATCAGCCATCGCCGAGTAGACGTGTGGTCAGTACGGGCCGTACGCAGGTGGTTGCGGAGCTCGTGCTCAGTCGGGGGGCGCAGCTTTGGGCCGCCGGGGCATGTATCTGGAGCTATGTGGGAAAGGTGCTGGCGGAGCATATTTACATCGAGTCATCGAGGCTTTGGCGGCTGGTCTGTGCTTTACAGTGTGGATATGTATTTCCTAGTCGAACGACATGTGATAATTTACATTTGCCATCAGTTTGTTTATCTTGTGTGCTGGCGTTTTGTAAATGCGCCGATGTGTTCTGTGATTTCCATTGGTCACATTCGTATCAGAATCGTGGGTGAAATGGCAATGTTGAGCACTGCCGCGTTCAGTTTTACCCGGTACGATTCCTTTCGCCTGGAACCCGCGCCCACCGCGTCATATCTTTAATGGTGGCGCACTCGCAAGCTTTTCATGTGCCTTGTTTTCCCAGTGTGCGTAAAACTATTTAACGACGCGTTTATTACACCGTACTGTTACAATTTGAATCAGTTCAAAGACGGACCAAAATGTTTCCAGGAGCGAAGGCCAAGTCTTATTCAACTCGCTCTTCAGCAAATGCATGTGAATAGGTATTAATTATCATATTAGTTATCTATCTTTTAATTATCATTTCGTATAACAAAACCATGTTTAGAATGATTCTGGTACTGAGTGCTGAGTCAATTGGCCGTGTGTACACTGTGCAAGTCGATGTATGCTTCAGTGTTCCATAAGTATTGTGGTCGCGCTAGTGCTAGGCGGTCTCGAGCCGCTCCGTGTGTGCGAGTGCGAGGACGTGCCTCCGTGGGGCGCGCTGATTGGCGGGGTGGGGAGGGACGGAGCGGGCAGATAGTGCGCCGGCAGTGCTACTCACGGGATACTACGTTCGGACATCAGTCATTCAGGAACCCATGTTACGACACGGTTAAAAGGAGGCCGCGTCTCCGTACGCATTGCTTGAACGATTGCATGCATACAGAGCTACCTAGTCAGTTGAGAGCAAATATATGTTCAGTCTGAAAACCGTGATTTTGACTTATAAACAGAATATCACAAACTCGCGGCCTTGTTCATGGGTATCATTTTGTGCAGGCCCGGTGTCTTGACAGTCTCGGGCCCTACCGATTTTTAGCCAGTGATGGCGCTGGACATAGCGTAAGACACATGACATTGGTGTCCTAAAACAAATCACTAGAGCCCTACCTACAAATTTCAGAAAGTGACTCGCATCATAATGAAAATGCGGCATCGATAATGCGACTGTGGCGTCATGTGTCACATGACGTCACTTTCCCATCTCGGTCGTGGTTCGTTTCAATACCTTTGTCGCCAACAATTCCTACAACCTTGTTAACCGAGCATCACTTGTGAATGTTTGTGGCAATAATCGAGGCAATAATATTGGTTTGTGGTGAATAGTTGAGCATTTTTCATATACACTGTGCATTTTTCCATATTCTGGAACAGGAATAGGATAGTTTGGAGACTGGAGCTTGCTCCTAATGTTCCTTACCTATCCTCTGGACCCACCTTTGTTGCGCCCACACCATTGAGCATTGATGTTGATTTTTCTCAGTGGACTCCGGAGTCTGACGTCCTAACTAGCTGCTCTTCGGCTTTTTAGCAGTCTTCCACACACTATCTCTTCAGTGGGCTAGCCCGCGTTCTTGAGCCTCCATTTGATTTATTGATTGTGGAGCGTAGTTACACGTTTAGGAAATGAGTGTAGTAGCTATCCTGAAAAGTAAAGGAGAGGCATATGGAGAAACAATTGAATCAAGTGCTATCGGAGGCCAGCCATTGTCAAGCAGACTTTCTGAGGTGCAGCAGAAAATAAATGAAAAGCTGACAGCTTTAGTTGAAAAGAAACCAGGTAAGCTTTGAGTGAAATGCAGTCATGAGAATGCATCAGCAGCAACGTGACACCTGTCAAATTAACTCTTATCAACATAACAGCTGGTAGCCCAGTGCTTAGTCATGGTGAAGTAATATTACTTTCAGGTCTGAATGGTTATGCTAAGGAATTGGAGTGTCTGAGGAATTACCTGATGAATCATGTCATTGTGCTAATATAGGTATCTTGCTAAATTTTGGAAGCATTAAACCCTGATACAGAATTGTTTTCTAGGAATTTTAGACATCAAACTAATGTAATGAATACCCTCTATAATGAAAATAGATTATTCACAAATAAAGCATCAAGTTGTAAATAAGGCATTCATCGATAGTGATAGGTAGGCAGGTAATGATCAGATACCATCGTTGAGGTCAATATGGGGACGATAGGGACTCCGCGAAGCGGGGCATCCACTTCATAACCGTCGTCCCTGCATCGGTCATACAAGTATAGCAGTGAGTGGCACACGGCCCTCAGCCCCTCAGTCGACCTCTACCTAAGTTGTGTTTCAGTAACGTCAGGTGAACAGACCAAGGTGATGGCATGAGTATAAAATGTCTCTACGAGGCATTATTGCCGGAGAGCTGCTCGTTGCGCGTCAGCCGCGGGGTTGCTTGTAATGCCCCAGGTGTTCACAGATATTATCTCCTCAGGAACAAACGGGACGGACCAGGCCGGCGGTGAGGACCAGAAAGATGTCCCGGAGGAGGACGACGAGGAAGACGATATTATCGATACCGTGCCTCCAAAGAAGAGAAAAACGTGACGTGATGACTATGCGAAGGCGACGGGGCTGGATTGTTATGCATCATTTTTGTAAATAAAACGTGCTCGTGATCGCGATCAAGGCAGTTATTCGTGTCCTTGATTGAAGATAGGCCGTGGTGTTCACTTCATTCCGCTCAATATCGGCTTTCATTGTGCTGTTTCGTACTCTGAACGTAGCTAAGCTAGTTAACTAGTTGTATCACAAGTATAGATCAGACGACTTCATTTATAGCAATTCCAACACACACTACAGCTCATGACTCACAGCATATACATTATACAATCCAAACCTATCCGATCACACAATGCCGGCGGCCCACTACAGACTGGCTCGGTGGGGCAGTAGCGCCGGCGGCCAGTGGCGCCGGCGGCCCGCCTCCGTCTCCAGCAGCGCCTCGAGGGCCGGCGGCACCAGCAGCGCGGCGCCCTCCACCAGGTGCAGCAGCCGGCTCTCGGGCGCGCCCAGCGCCCCGTGCGCCGCGTGCAGCCGCCGGCTGATCCAGTCGCCGTGGTCGGACACGTGCGCCACCGTCACGTGGCGGCCGGTGCGCGCCACCAGCAGCTGCAGCTCGATCCGGCGCCGCTCCGAGCGCGCCAGGCCGGGCGCGGCCACGTGGCGCAGCCGGCACGGAGCACCGAGCCGCGCCACTAGTGCCGTTACGGCCCGGAGACTCGCCTCGAACACGTCGTCGCCGTGCTCAGCGGCGCAGGCGGTCAGGTGGCGCACGGCGGACGCCTGCGGGGCGGCGGCGGGCGCGGCGGCCGGCGGTCGGTAGAGCCGGCCGACGGCGGCCAGCCGCAGCGGCAGCGCCGCCGTCGGCTGCCGGCTCTTGGCCAGCAGCGCGCAGACGGCCGGCAGCGAGGCGCCGCCCACCAGGTGCAGGCCCAGCGGCGAGTCGGGCGTGCCTTCGTGCCAGGCCGCCAGCCGCGCCACCTCACCGGGGTCGCCGAACTCGAGTCCGCAGCCCTCAGCCACCAGGCTCTTCACCGTGTCGGGGCAGCTGACGCGCGCGAACCCGGCGGCCACCAGCTGGGCGCAGGCGAACTCGAGCAGCGCCAGCTCGAGCTCGGCCGCCGCGCCGTGCAGGTAGTAGGCGCCCGAACTGACGTCGCTCGGCTCCACGTCAGCGAACAGCGGGTCGGTCGGCGGCAGCGGCACACGCTCCTGCGGCCCGGCGGCCCGCTCCGGCGGCGGCACCGGCTCCAGGCCGTCCTCGGCCTCCGGCGTCAGCGGGTGGAGGGTGTTGGGCAGGCGGGCCAGTCGCGGCAGCAGCTCCTCCTCCAGTCGCCAGAGCGGCTCCTGCAGGGCGCGCAGCCGCTCCTTGAGCGCCGCGCCGTCGCGCCGCAGCTGCTCCGTCTGCGCAGTGTCGGCCGACTGGCTGCGGCGCAGCTGGGCGCCGCGGGCGGCCACCTCGGCCCGGCGCCGGGTCAGCTCGGCCTTCTGCTCGGCCAGCCGCTGCAGCTCAGCGTGGCCGGCCAGCAGGGCGTCCAGGTCGAGCGCGGCGCGCCGGCAGCGCACGCTGTGTCGGAGCGCGGGCAGCGCGGCCGGCGCCAGCGCCTCGTCCAGGCACGGCCGCAGCACGGAGACGACGTGCTCGGCGCTGCGGCCGGACACGTACAGCGCCGACGGGAGGGCGGCGGCCGGCGCGCCGCTCAACAGACACCGCAGCAGCCGCATCGCCGGCGTCTGTCAGTCCGTCCTCACACACTCACAGTCACCACTCGGCGGGCAGATAATGTCTCAGTCCCGGGCCGGTCTACGCCGCGCCCTGGTCGGTCTCGGCCGCCGCCGGTTTGGGGCCCGGTCGGACCGCAGCCGACGGAGGGCCGTGCGACACGTGCAGCGTCTCGTCGTTGACTCGGGTGAAGCCGCTGTACTCCAGCACGCGGATCGTCTCAGACTGTGAGGCGCTCATAAGACGCTTGACTGAAACACAAGAAAGGGAAGGGTCACAAAGGGCTGACACGCAGAGGCGGGTCACAAACGGCTGATATGCAAGAGAGACATGTAAGACAAAACTCGATGAAAGGCCAGACAAAGCCTATGAGCTTGGGTGTTGTCGTATTAGGGGTGCGCTGGCTTTCGGGGCTTCATAGGCTCGAACCGAACACTGAATAATCGAGGGCTCTGATAAGGTATACAATTTTACAGTGGACTCGAATCCAGAGTATCGCGTTCACAGACTTCCATGGAATCGGTCTGCATTTTTCCGCATAAGATTTCAATGGTGTTTTCCTGACGAGTTTTCAATGTTTCCAATCTAACATCGAAATTCTATTGGAAAGATGGGACGCCTTCTTTCGACTAGTTGGCGATGCTGATAGCATGGGATTAGGGAGGCGTGCAGTACCGCGATTGCAACGCATGCAGTTAGACTCCACAAGGGGCTGCTATATCTGATAGTACCGTCGCAAATCGTTGTTATCGGCGCAGAGCGCGGCGCATGTCGCCCCGATAGGCGCCGTTTCTCGGGACCCGGGCACTGAGTGGTCCTGACGGCTCTTTGTCCGTTTGCTGCGTCACGGGCCCACGGCTGACTCAGCCGACTGGCCGGTATCAGCACGTCTCAGCCCCGACGGCACTGAGGTCGGTCAGCAGCACTGTCCGGCCGGTCCGGCCAGGGTCATCACAAAAGGCTGTCCCTCGATACTGATGCCGTACCTGCTCGATGATGTCCCATTGATCAACAGATTTCTTGAATCTAGCTTAACTTTGGTAAAGGTGCTCTAACACCCATATTAACTACGTTTTACAAGACTGGAGGTCTTTTGAAGGTGGTCACGTGGCCGGGCCTCATAGAGCTGCCGTCCACTGGGGAGTGAGAGTCGAAGCCCTCTGAGCCCTCACAGGCCGGTGTGACCGGAGGGTCTAAGCCCCACGACTGGCTTGAACCTTCCAAGGCCGGTGTTCTCCCGTCCCCGAAGCGGACGGGTAATCTTCTATGGTCAGAAGACCGTCATACTTCTACAGAGGCTGAGAATTCTTGAGGAAAATGTGGTGTCAACCGAACTGATACCGTATCACAGAGGGCAATCCTATCAGCAAGTGACCTTGGAATACGTTCCTGGTGGGTTTAGCGGCGTAGTGCTTAACCTGCGCTGAACTTTTAGCCGAATGCTATTGACAGAGTGGCTGTGGAGGGAATTTAGCGCCCCCAGAAAGCATCCGAAGCTAAGCATCATAAGCGTAGACTCGCAAGGCGGCGATAAAAAGGATCCCCAATGCACATCTTAAGCACCCCCTAACACTTTAATTTTGAGATCACGTTACTGGTCAACGGAATGTCAAAGGTCTAAATTGAGCACATCCACAGGCTTTTATGAGCTCTAGCGAACGCAGTGATTGCTTTTGCTGCATTAGCTGTCCCCCTATCCGCTCGTCTCGTCCCTTACCGTTTCATCTTAATGTAGAAGCAGGAGAGCGTGCACGAGAGGACGAGGAAGATTGCGACGGCGGCGGTGGCGCCGGCCAGCGCGGCGCTGTGGTCCTCCAGCAGCTGCTGCGCCGACGAGAAGCAGCCGTGCTCGTAGTAGGAGTTCTTGTCAGTCGGCTGCTGCTCGCAGGGCAGCTGGGTGCCGTTGGCGCCCGGTCGGCAGCAGCTGGAGGGCACCTCGGTGGCGATCGAGCTGTGGTTGCTCCAGTCGGCTCCGCCGCGCACGCCGCAGCACTGGAAGTCGCGCTGCAGGAAGTCCCAGACGGCCGTGACCTCTGTGTCGTTGCCGTAGCGGCCCATCGACTCCAACAGGTCGCGCTGAACGACGTCCGCCTCCGGTCCGGCGGCCACCAGCGCCGACACGAACCCGGCCACCGTCAGGATGAACAGCAGGACGCTGAAGCAGCCGAACAGGCCCAGCAGGCAGGTGTTCTGCAGCATGGCGCCGCAGCAGCCCAGGAAGCTGACCACCAGCACCAGGGTGGCCACGGCGGTCAGCAGGAGGGCGGCGCCGCGCGACACGCTCACGCCCAGCACCGACTCCAGATGCGGGTGCTCCGAGGACAGGGCGTCCACGCTGACCGTCAGCAGCGCCAGCGCGCCGGCGAACAGCACCAGGTTCTGCACCAGCAGCCAGAACCGCAGCAGCTTGACGCTCCGGCAGCAGGCCATGGTGATCCGCCGCGGGTCCGAAAGTAAATAGGTAGGTAGATCCGCCGCCGGTCCGTAGACAGGTAGGTTGGTAGATACGCCGCGGGTCCGTAGACAGGTAGGTAGCCGGTCGGTCAGTCGGCCGGTCGGACGGATCGCTGTCGCTCGCGGCCCCTCGGTCGGTCTGTGGCGTCGGTCGGCCAGTGCCGCCGTCCTCCTGTGCTGATAAGATTACCGCCGTGCGGCTTCTGAGCTGACCGAAGGTCGGCGATGTGGCGCGGTGGCGCAACTGCGTCAGCGGTACCGGGCGTGCTCGGCGGCCGAGGTCGCACGGCCGCGGCGCACGGCACAACAAACGGGACTGGGCACAGGCGGACCGTGTGCACGGTTGACCGCGTTCACAAGGCGGATGGTTGCCTATATGCGAGCTCCAACTGCGAGTCCGTAAAGTAAAACTTCCCGACTGCAAAAATTGGCAGCAGCCGTGAAGGATCTTGCCATGCGTTCATTCGCATTTTCGGATATTTATTAGCTTTGCCATTGTTTGCTTAACGCATAATAGAAGGTTCAGAAAAAATGTCATTACTGCTGTTTCGCAATGTGGGATACAGGATATTATATTGCTGCGACATGCGAATTGCGAATGGGCACTACGTCAGCTTCTGAGACGCTCCCAATCGGCCAGCGCCACCTAGTTCTGTCTGAGCAGCACCTTTCGGTCAGTCGCCTGTTCAGGTCGTAGCGAAGGTGCTGAGATCAGAGACAACCACAAGCTTTCAGAGGTTCATGTGTGGGGCTGCATAGTAGCATATGGCTCATCAATATGAAAAAAAAACGGGATAGCCAGGCACTCTCGTTAAAATTCAGTTGTTCACTAGGCCAAGTCCATTAGAACACAAATCAGCTTGGAGCAGCACATCCCAGGGGTAGAGGGGGTACACATTTTCCATGCAAACACAAAACTGTAAGCGTCGAAAGGTCAACAGCTGCAGTAATAGAATATGCTTCAGTCTAGCTCTGATATGTGGACGTATGCATTGGTTATATACGCTAAGCCGAGGTGCATGCCTGTGCGCCCTCCCCCCCTCCCCCCGTTCATAAAACATTTATTGTCTAAGAAAGGGGCGGCACATGAAACCCTTCGATGAATCTCTGTGGAGTGTGGACCCCGCGGGGTCCGGGGCGCCGCCCCAGCCTCTCTCCCGTCCGTAGCCACCAGCCACTGACCTCTGTTGATCTTGTCGGTCCTCTCGTCGCCGGTCAGCTCGCGCTGCTGCCTCTGGCGGTACCACAGCCAGCCCACAGCCAGCAGCGTGTTCCAGCCAACGAAGAAGTACGCCACCGATAAGCGCCGCTCCCAGCGGAACGCCACCTGTCGGGAGCGGCAGAGCGGCGGCCAGGACCGGCGTCAGCTGCGGGCTCCCGGTGACAAGCAGCTCTCACAGTGAAAACTGATCAGTCATCACGTCAGATTGTAATGTTAACTCACTGGGCTGGAATCTACTTGCACGATCGATGCATAGGTATCAACGAATAACTGAATATTGAATCTGTACATATTAAATGTCTAGACTGAAATTTTCATTAAAATTGTTTCCTAACAACTGTTATAATGCTTACCTCTTCACTGATTTGTGGGAAGTACTGGCGAATGAACCTCCTAGTCCATGGGGCTCTCCGCCTCACAGGCATACTCCTGAAATCAATTATGCATGTCATTAAATCTTGAGCCAAAGCGAAGCTGTAACTTGGCTAAGGTAACTCCTTTACTTTTGGTCACCAGTTCAAGCTCCTCAGAAAAAAAAACTAGGAGCTAATGTGTAGCTCTATGACAGCATTCAAATAGTACTAGTAGCCTATATGTATAGCCAGAGTAACTGGGACCTGCACCCACAGTCAAAACTCAAAGGCCAAAAATACATTAGATCTTTTCCTAGTGATGTCCTAGTTAGACCAGAAAAAAGGTGGGGTCTGAGAGAGAATGAAGCAATCATGCTCCAGTTCAGGAACATATCGCAGTGAAAAAAGAAAAATATTGCAACTTGTTTTTCTTCATATTCATAGGGTGTTTCTTAAAATGTGCTTCTCAAAATTGTGTTTTTTTACCTTAACTTTACCTAAACTCCATAGTGACCTACCCTGGTTGGCAGTCAGAAAGCATGCATCCCACTTTCATTTTTGGAAACAAGGAGAGGTGCTACACCCAGAGATGTAGGTCATAGGTTAGAGGTTGTAGGTTAGGTTGTGTTAGGTTAGCAGGTTAGTTTTGATTTAGTTTGAAAGAATCATCTCTAAGTATGACACTTCTCCTTGGTTGCAACTTGCAAAAATAAGTGTGACGCTTGCTTTATGACTTCCCCCTAGTCAAATGACCTTAACAGCTAACCACTACCTAACTCTTCAATGCAAAAATTGACCATCACCCTTAGTCACTAGTCAGGCAAAATCAAATCTGACATTTCTCAGTGCTGAAGGTAAAATTTAAATGCTGAAGTGAAATGAAATTTGAAAATGAGTCCTAGGTGAGCAAATTGCCAATAAAACTGGACCAGCAAATCAATTTAAGAGGTCAAAAAGTACGCAAGCACAAACATACACAAAATACTTCTTTTTTTTTGCAAATTTAGTCCAAATCAAGTCCAAATGGTTGAATGGGCAGATTTGAGGAATCAGAGCCTGCACTAAGCATGGCTTGTTGCGCTAGCCCTGACCCCACCACCAGATCGCACAATTCCTGAGCTCTGTTCGCTCCCGTTTATTTATCAGTAGGCTGCAAGCATGCTGCTACTTCAACTTCTTGGCTCCTCATTGGTCGAATTCAAGTGGTCTATTTGTTACACCAGTTACACCAATGAGAGGCCAAGAAGAGCCAGCAATAACCTCCTTATATGGGGAAAACCGACAGTACGCTGATATAAAAACAGCGACCTAACAGAGCTCAGTTATATGGCAGGATTTTGTCCAAACGTATAGCGTGCCCTCACGACTGGACATGGTCCCCTCCTCCGCTCACTCACGTTACCTGGCTTCTGTGCAGCCCCTGCCACAGACACGCACGCCATTACACGAAAGAGCCAAATTGAAATGTGGCCGCCCGCGCCAGGGCTTGAAATGGGCTCTCACTACCGGCTTAGCGTCAAATTCCGGCGCTCTTAACCACTCTGCTACAGAGAGGATTGTTATCTGTATCCTTGGGCAGTGGATATATTCCAATAGCCCATTTTTATTTCACTCAAAGCTTCACAATACTGATTCTGATACAACGGTAAGCAGGTACCAGTACCGGCGACAACAAGTTAATTTGAATTGTTTAAATTAAAATGTGATTGCTGAAAGAAAGGTACCAGCATTGGATCATGCATCATAGCAATAGCCAATCAAAGCACAAAGTATGTCAACCTCTTCATTGAGTTTTTACCTTTAAAATAAAATGATCGATACCATAAATTTGCTCTACAACTATTTCCAATAGACAATTATAAAATTGATTCCAGGACAAATCTTCGTATGGCATTTCTTCGTCGCGCAATTCTTCGTCCGCATTTCTTCGTCCGCAAATCTTCGTCGGCGCATTTATTCGTGTCGCATTATTTCGTCTCGCATTTCTTCGTAAGCGCAAATATTCGTAGCGCATTTCTTCGTTTCCGCATTTCTTCGTCGGCGCATTTCTTCGTCAAGCATTTTTTCGTCCACGCATTTCTTCGTCTACGCAAATCTTCGTCCGCATTTCTTCGTCCACGCAAATCTTCGTCTGCGCATATCTTCGTCCGCAAATCTTCGTCCCCGCAAATCTTCGTCCGCAAATCTTCGTCCGCATTTTTTCGTCCACGCATTTCTTCGTCTACGCAAATCTTCGTCCGCATTTCTTCGTCCACGCAAATCTTCGTCCCGGCAAATCTTCGTCCGCAAATCTTCGTCCGCAAATCTTCGTCCGCAAATCTTCGTCCGCATTTTTCGTCCACACATGTCTTCGTCCACGCAAATCTTCGTCCGCAAATCTTTGTCTGCGCATATTTTCGTCCGCAAACCTTTGTCTGCGCTATCTTCGTCCATTCGTCCACAACTGTGGTTCAATAAAACCATGAAGAAATATCAGACCATTGCAAGTGAATGACGAATTTAACCCGCGACCTGGTGGGGGGGGCTATTTTTTGCCCCCCCCCCCTCCAGACTTTTCGATATATCTCCAGAACCGCTGCGCCGATCGTCACCAAACTTTCAGTACCCTCCCGGACATCAATTTTACACATTGTGACCGAAAAATTTTCCAAAGGCTATGATAGGTTGGCCGGAAATGACGTCAGAGTGACGTCATGTTCTGTCGTTTTCGACCCAAAAAGGGTTTTGCGGGAAGAGCTGTCAGGCCTATAGCTTTGCAAATACAGAAAAATGATTAAAACATAAAAGCTGTAGAATCAACAGGGCTACAAAACTGCTATCTCGGATTTTTGAAATTTTTGGATTTTGACCCCCAAAAATCAAAAAATATTTTTTTTGGATATAATAATCGAAAAATCCAAAAAGTTTTTTGAATTTCGCAAAAACCGGAATATATGTGATAGTCCTTACCGCCTTCCATTTACATACCAAATTTGAGATTGATACCTCTTTTTTTGGCGAAGTTATAGCGAAAAAAACTGTTCAAAATTGATGACGTCAAATTTTCAAACTCAATTTTTGAGCAATTCTAGACCCCGTAGCGCAAAACAAAGACCACCATTAGACTCCCCGTGACGAGCTGCATCGAATCAATACCCATTTTATGCAAAACTATCAACTTTAAAATTTGACCTTTTTTGGCCTGACCTTGACCTGACCTTGACCTGAACTTCACCAGAAAGTGACCTAAGCCGTACCTGATAGTCTTATAACCAACACCATTGAGTTGGAAATGAAAAATTGGCCATAAAACATGCATCACACAACCCTAGTAAAGTTGGGCTCATGTGACCTGACCTGTGACCCTTGGTGACCTGACCTGTGACCTGACCTGGTATTGTCAGTGACCTCTAATAGCAACATATCTACTAGGCAACTGATGCCCTATCGCTGATTCTCGACAAAATGCGTTTTCCTCGGTGTTATAGCGCATTCCCTAGAAGACCCGTGAACGGTGAAACATTCCATCTTTGACCTGACCTGTGACGTCATCGGTGACCCCGAGGTCAATGAAATTTGGTTTCCTT